AGCTGCAGTTGAAAATGGTAATCAAGCTGCAGAAATAAAGTTTGGAGTGAGCAAGAAACTTGTGACAGCCAGAGGATGCGCCATGCAACTTTCCTGGAAGTCATTGGATGGATGGACAAAGCCTGGAGTGACACCAAAACCATCTGTCAAAAAGGCCAGAATAATTCTAACTGGAACTGATGCTGAGTCTGACGACAGCTACACAGAAGAGGAAGTGGCGCGCTGTTTACCTCTGGAGGTCGTGGAGTTGCTCAGAAGTGACATCAAGGATGAAGAATTGAATGGATTTAGTGATTTGGAGTGAGATGGAGAGTTTGGTAAACTTGTTCTGTTCTGTTGTTTATGCTATAGTTTATCTGAAGAACTGTTCATATGTGACGTTAACAGTCTGTTGTTCTCTCTTCTATTGTTATTACTAGAATGTGCCTTTCAACATGAAATGTGGGTTCCTGGTCTCTGACTTTTATTAAATAATTTGCCCCAAAAAGTGCAACTTATAGTCCGGAGCATCTTATAGTCCGAAAATACAATACGAAAAATGGATTCTTGTGAGCTTTTAGTCATGTTACCAACCTTCATCTGAGTGGACAAACACTCCAACTCTACTGTCACCCCACTGAGCTACTTTCACCCTCCATGGAGAATGTTCCGAAGTATGGTTTTAACTTTTAACTCCCACGGAACATGTGCCACCTCCAGAAAGTTACATACTGCAGCTTGTAATAAAAATATATATTCAATTAAATAATTTTATGCATCCCCGAGGGGCAATTAAAAGGCACAGAGCTTAGCAGAGTTAAAGGATATGAGAAGGGGGTCCCTGAAGGATCCTGGGGGCCACTCTCATGGCCCGCTGGTCACACAGAGCAGAGGGATCTGACTCTAGCCAATAATTTTAGAGCAAACATTTGAGACTCTGATCCACTGTGACCTGTTTGGAACGCTGACCGAGCGCAGCCAGCACATGAAAGAACAGAACGCTCTGGATAAAGGCGTGGTAAAAAGTCAGCACCATGTTTTCACTGACATCGAGCGACCTTTATTTCCTTAAAGGGTGCTGACTCTGGTGACTCCCTGCACCTAAAAATGTACGAAATGGACAAATGCGGTTATTTTCATGAACAACAAATTGATACTGAACTTTGACGTTGTTAATGTGCCCAGTGTGTGTCCTGTGTGCACGCTCAAAAGAAATCAAACTGGTTCAACAGACTATATGTCTTTTACACAGGAAAAACAGATGGCTCACAGAATGACATAACACGCCTCAAGAGACAGAATGGAAAGCACACTATTACCTCATCTGTACAATAGGCTACTGTGTGTTTAGTCTTTGTGCATCATTGTTATTGTTGTGATTGAATGTGAGAGGAGAGCTACAGGCCTGTCAGGGAAAAGCTTATGACTCGGACGGGATACGCACATGCCAGTGATGAGTTAAGTCTTTTGTGATGAAGATTCTCCTTGGAACATGTTCTTAAGTCAGAGTGAAGTCACGAGTCAGCTCTAAATGAGGCCGAGCTGTCAGTCGCACTTGTATGATGTAAAGAGGAGGAAATATGTGCAGCTCCTCACACAGACATGACAAGACTGACAGAATCAACCGGCAAAGAATCACTCAGACCCAAAAGTGTGACCGCAAATCATAAACCGTGTAAGAGAATTCTGTTGTATTCTGCTTCTTTTTGTATGTTAAAGTTTTCTGGTGGAGGATTTGCTATTTGTTTGTCTCCATGGAGACGTTATAGATTTGACCAAACCTGTAACTTAGGCTGGTGGTGTCTCCTTAGGGTGATCAGAATTTCAAAATAAAAAACTAGGGCATCCCTGTTTTTCTGGTGTTTGGTAATAATAAAATTGTGAAACTAGTGCGTAATTGAGGAAAACTCTTGTGCGTAATTGAGGAAAACTGTTACGTAAAGACCATTCAGGACTAACATGTGAGTCAGTATAGTCACATTTTCTTTGTGTTTTGGTCGTTTTTATGCAGATTTTCTTGTATTTGACCTAAAAAAGTGACAATTTATACCCCTCTTTACTGTTGGCAGGGATCAAACTGGTCAAATATAGGGGCACCTGAGACATTTCTTGTATAAAACTGGGACAAATCACTGGTTTTGGATGAATCCACTGGGATTCATCCAAATGGGATTGGTGCCGGTTGGCATGGCAGCTGCGCTTCTTTCAGTATGCCCCAGGGCTGCTGTGGCTACAATAGTAGCTTACCATCATCGGGTGTGAGAAAAAGTGTCTTTGTGACATATGTCTGTGAAAAGTGCTATATAAATAAAGATTTACTTACTTACTTACTTACTTACTTACTTACTTACTTACTTACTTACTTACTTACTTACTTACTTACTTACAGGGAACACTGGGTTCAAAACTGGGACTGTCCTTGGTAAATACAGACGTCTGGTCATCCTATGTCTCCTGCTAGTCTTATCTATCTTCATGGAGATAGAGAAGTTTAGTTTAATGCCATTCTGTGGAGCATTAAAAGCAAAGCAATGAGAGGTAGAAAAGTTGTTTTGTGTTAACCAGGCTCACACCAGATTGATGTGTGTGTCGCTCTGAATTGAGTTCTACACATTCTCCATCTGGAAAGGCTCTCTCCAAAAGCAATAGGATAGAAAAGTTGATATAAAAGCACAGACATCTTCCCTGTCCACAAAGCTCTTACTTTCAGCACAGAACAGAAAAAAAATTGTAAATGTGGTTAAAGTTTGTTTTTTTTTTCAACCAGGGAAGAATATCTACAAGAAACTGTACTATGCAAGTTAGAGTACTGCTAGAGTGGTTATAAATGAATAGGCCTATGCTCTAAATGTCAAAATTATATTAGTAATGTGACTCTCTTGTCTTGTGTTTTTCTCAGTATCGATATGTTTGTGCCATACACCAACTCACAACTCACAGAGGACATGAGACTCACTCATAACACATGCTTTTTACTTTTACTGGAACAATCAACGTGACAAGTGTAAGCTTTAGGTAAGGCTTGATGTCCCTCTAGTGGTGTTTTCATGCATAGCACCCAAATAAGATGAGCTGTTCTTTAGTTTCAGCGAGAGTCATGTCACAGAGACAGTATTTAATACAGCCCCAGGGAGGGAGGCACTGAACTATAGGCATTATGTCATGTAATCCATTCAAGCTTAGTCTTTGGTTTAGATATAGGTATTAATTTATAACCAAAATTATTTAAATGTATTTAATAGTAACGTTGGGTCTATTTTAGTCCAGTTTAAACCAGTTTAATAAGATGCAAATAAACTAATTAATTGTTTAACCAGCCAACATAAAGACAAATATTTAGCCCACTAACCTATTTGGTAGGGAAAGTTTGAGCAGATTTTTTTTTTTAATCTGTGGTTTAAAAGTTTGGTGTAAAAAAAAAAAAATAAAAAAAAAAGGCCATCTATCTGCAAGTTGACGAAAATACAAAAGTACATGCCCACAACTTTTACTCAGAGGTAGGTTACTGATTTGATCATGTCTAAGTGTATTAATATTATGAGCTGTTTTACTGTAGCGTTACTTATAATGTGCAGTGAACCTTCAAAGAACTAGTCTATATATGACAAAATTTGTTATTTAAGTTAATCAAGCAACTTGTAAAGAAAAATTGTCTTATTGCGCCATCTAGTGTTTTTGGTCACCTAACTTCACGTACAGCTATTCAAGTCTTTTACTTAAAAAAAAAAAAAATATATATATATATATATATATATATATATATATATATATATATAATATATATATATATATATATATATATATATTATATATATATATATATATATATATATTACCTCCGCCAAGGAGGTTATGTTTTCGCCGGCGTTTGTCTGTTTGTTTGTTTGTTTGTTTGTTTGTTTGTTTGTCTGTTAGCAACATAAGTCAAAAAGTTATGGACCGATTTTGATGAAATTTTCAGGATTTGTTGGAAATGTGAAAAGGAAGAACTGATTTAATTTTGGGGGTGATCCGGAAGAAATCCTGGATTCTGGATCACTTTGAAATTTTAGTTAACATTGTGGTAAATGGGGCCAAAAAATTTTTTTCTCAATATCTCGGTTAATTATTGACCAAACCCCATGAAATTTGACTCAGGGATGGACAATGGGATCCTCTTTCATATTCCAAAGGCTGATCCGGATCTGATCCAGAAGACTGATTTTATCGCAATTTATATAAAAAATGGGGGTAGTCCTTGGCGGAGGTCTGCGCTCTCTGAGTGCTTTTCTAGTTTACATAGTATTTACTAGTACCTATGAAAAAGAGTTTAATCTAAATGCGAAAAATGAAAAAATAAATACATAGTTTGACCATATTTTATGTTTAAATTGTAACTTTCTAGTTGGGAAATATGTCATTTTCAATATATTTTTCCAGCTTTTGTTCACAAGTTGTTCGTTGATTTGTGTAAAACTTAGGATGAGCAGAAAATTCCAAAATTCAAAACTGGGACACACCCGGGTTGGGTTGGTTGGTATAAACTGTAACTAATTGCCCATTTATAATTTACTTTGTGAGTAAATCATAATCTGAGGAACTTCTGACAGTGCTTTTTTTTCTTACGGTAATTTTCAAGCTCAATTTTCTGTATTTTGGCTAAACAAATGATAATACATTCCCCGCTTTACTGTTGGCAGGGATCAAATTGGTCAACAAAAGGGACACCTGGGACATGGCTTGTATAAAGCTGGGACAAATCATTGTTTTTGCATAAATCTGCTGGGACAGGGGACACAGGGCTCAAAACTGGGACTGTCCCGGCTAAATAGGGACATCTGGTCACTCTAGTAAAACTATAATATACAGCAGGAATTATCCCACCATTTTCAGTCAAAATTAGAGAAACATAAAAACCCCTCACACGCACTTTTAACTGTTTTATTTCACAATTTACGACATGTCTGTGAACGCGCCAGCCGTAACCAAGGTAATGACGCTCTGCTCCGTTGCCAAGGCATTCTCAACGCAAACACAAGCTAGCATCATAGCACTGTTATTAGCCCCCCTAATCATCTCGCTGCTATGATTACACCTCGCTGAATCTGTCCGCACACTCACGCCATCATTACGGAACATTAAACCAAAACATTAAACCGTTTTGCTAATTTTTTTCCGGTAATCGCTGTTGTTATTTAAGCACGTTTCCAGGTTAGCTAACTCAGCACAGCTCACGTTAGCCTCACACAGCCGTCATGGTAAGTACGAAACCGGTTGCTTTTTTTGCACCAGAATCATGCAATTTGCGAATTTTGTGTTCTGTATTTGCGCAATTTAAAACGAAATGTACTCAAAAGCATGCATTTAGCTTGATAACAATGTAAACCAACGTGGGCTCACGCATTGTAGGCCTATAATCTTGAGAAAATCTGCTTTACGTGAATTTAGCAGATCGGATAATTCTTTGCATACATGGCAGTCTGTCTGGTGTATCGATTCGTGTTTGTTATTAGCTTTTTCTCCATTTTCCATGTATTTTTTTTTCCTAAATTGTGCAGCCCTATTCTGTATACCGCTATAAATTGCACAGTACCACAACACATTCACATCATCTCGTTGATTCCACGTATTTTTTATGATCAAATTTACATATAACGGTACAGATTGTTTAGTTTAGCTAATTAGTCAATCTGGTGTATGTTGTTTTCTAATTAACTCTAACAGTGAGAACGAAACCAAGCACAAATCAGTATGTTTCATTATAGACATAGGCAAATTATTAAAGGGCTCATATTATGTTGTTCTGATCTCTGATATAATGTTGTTTCCTCATCACAAACATACTTGGAGTTGTGTTTTGTTTCATTCACACATGTTTAAAGGGTCTATATTACACCAAAAAAAATTCTTGTAAGCCATATTAGATTATGTTGTTAGGCCATGTTGTTACCTCATTGAAAATATACCTGGAGTTTTGTTTTGAGTAGTAGTAGTAGTAGTAGTAGTAGTAGTAGTAGTAGTGGTAGTGGTAGTAGTAGTAGTACTTTATTTTCTGTAATGTACTTAATAGACTGTTAAAAACATTTTACATAAAACTATGACCAAAGGGGTTTAGCCTAAAGTGAATCACTTATGAATGCCCCTGTTAACAAATGCTGATGCCAAGAATACGGTTGTCGACAAACAACAAGCAACAACTTGGATAGCTCAGAGAAAAAAAATATATGTACAATGTAATAATAATACTCATCAGTTTAGTACAGCAGTTCTTTTTGTGTAAACTCTATTCCAATTCCTACACCTAAGAAAAAATAAATAAATAAATTCCTGCAAAATCATCAACATTTATCCTATACATACACTAACCTTCTTATGTAGCCAGAATCTACATTATTATTTTATTGTCTCTCTAGTTCATTCACACATGTTTGAGTAACCCTTTATTGTTAGTCTGTCTGCATCTTTAAAGATCAAATTGCTCTGTTCCACCTTGTGATGTCATGAAGCCGTAGTTTTCACGTTAACCGCAGCCTTTCAACTTAAGTTCAGTAGAGATTGGCAACTGCAAGGCTGAAATTATCCAAATTATTCTGTTGAAGGTGTATGGAGTGCAAAAACACCGTGGAGCACTTCCTGTATTACCACATGGCATCACAAGGTGGAACAGAACTCTAAATATGCAGGGTTTGTGTGAATGAAACAAAACACAACTTTAGGTATGTCTGTGATAAGGAAAAAACATTATAATATAGATCAGAAAATAGCCAATACAAACCCTTTAGGCTGAGTTCTTCTCTTAAAACACACACACACACAAAAGCTTTAACTTAATGTAACAGATCTAATTTAGCATGCTGATTCTGTGCATGCATGGTGGTCTGTCTGTTGTTTCAATTCTTATTTGTTAATTTCTTTTTTCCTCCTCCATTCAGGCTGATTTTGGGTTCAACGAGCACCATCAAAATGAAATGATAAACTACATGAGGTTTGCACGGTCCAAGAGGGTCCTCAGACTCAAGACCATCGACTCCTGCTTTGAAGAGCTCAAAGACAGCAGGTGACATTTCCAAACGTTATTTATTCAGTGGTGGAATAAGTACTCAGTTTTGTTACATAAAGGTGCATTGTGTAACTTTTGGTTGGGGACTGTCACCCGCTTGTTTCTATGGAGATGTCATTGCTCTGCCTGGAATGTTCTACAATATGGCATTAAACAGCTCTACCGTACATTTATTCAATTACAGGTGGTTTTATAGCTCAAAAATACCTAGAAAAACAGACATTCTGACTGTGAGCAGGGTAGCCACTCCATAGATCCGACCTGAAATTTTGTCTGGTCTAGTGTCCATGAAGATAGAAAGGTTTAATGCCATATTGTGAAACATTCCAGACAAAACATTAACATCTCCATGGAGAAATACATTTCACAAACCCTCCACCAGAAAAGCTTCACAATACACCTTTAAGTAAAATACACATACCGAAAAAGTATCACATTAAAAAAGTACCAGTTTTAAAATTTACTTAAAGAGTAAAAAGTATTTCACACAGATTTTCAGATCTAATAAAGCTTTAAATGTAGTGATTTTGTTGAAGATTTTTGATACATTTTGTTTAACAGAAACAACTGAATCAATGTTTTTTTTCCTAGCATTTTTTATTTGTATATTGTTTTTGCTCAAACTACAAACAGGTTAAAAATAAACTCTCAGCCTTTTCATCGGACCTCAAACTAGAATAAAAAATACTTTCACTTTTCAGTTCTGTTCAAAAATCTAGTGGAACAGAAAGTACAGATGTCTGCTCTCAAATGTAGTGAAGCAAAAGCAAAAAGTACATATACTTAAAATATACACTTAAGAACAGTACTTTCCTACTTTGCTTAATGTATTAAAATATAAATGCCACAACTTGACCTCAGATACTCGTAACCATCTTCTCCTGTCTGCAGCTGCTGTGTTCTGGTGTGAGGTTAGTTATAAGAATGTGCTTGACCCAGATTTATTTTTAAAAAGGATGGAAAAAACTAAATTTAAAGATGCACTATGTCACTTTGAGGCTAGAGGATTCACCATCTGTTTGTTTCCATGGTGCACAGTGGAGTATTACAAGCAAAGCAATGCACCAGAAATGTTACACAGTGTAACTTTAAGGCAATTTTTTTCAAGGGAGGTTAGTATGCTCTGTGAACTGTGTGCAATAACACACAACATGACCTCACGACCACATCCTCTTGTTGATTTCACAGAATTTTATTATCAAACTTATTCGAAGATATGCAAAATTTAATATAGAGTGTATCATTTAATAAAATAAAATGTTGCAAAAACAGCTAATTAAAATGAAAATAAAATGTAAAAAAAACTGTGATAAGTGATAATTCTGGGCTTTTGCTAGCAAAATGTTATAGCTATTTCACATTTGTCAGATGCCTCAAGTAATAAATGACATAAAATTCTTTAAATTTTACTTCCAAAAACTACTGAGATACTAATTTTTGTTCATAATGGCCCTACTACCTATTTCATTATTATCTTGTTTATCCACTAGGAGCACTTGAAAGTTAATAGTTTGTTGGATCTTCTACATACTCGTGTCTGTTTCTCCTCAGGCTGGTGGAGGAGACGTTCACCGTGGACGAGGTGAGGGACATGCTGGACGGTCTGCAGGTGGTTGTCAGAGGAGAGGTGGAGACAGAGCTCATAAACACAGCTCACACCAACGTGCTCCTGCTGAGACAGCTCTTCACCCAGGCAGAGAAGTTCTACCTGCGCCTCACCTCCGACATCTCCGAGCTCGAACACAGGTGACGCCAGTGGGATGATGAAAATGAGTAGGATCTCGTGCAAAAACTACTATGTTTACAGAGAAGAACAACATTTGTGTTGTCAGTTTTAGTGCTAAAATCCAGTTGGTTTAAAACTGGAATGCCTCTCTCTGATTTGAATAGTCACAAAAACCCTTGACCATATACTGAAAATGAGACAAACTGGAGACATTGGAGTATATTTTTTAAACTCAGGTTACATACAATTCCTTTAAAGGTGCATTGCATAACTTTTCTGGTGGAGGGTCCTTCAAATGCTTTTCTTCTTGGGGATGTTTATTGCTTTGTCTGGAAGGTTTCACAGTACGGTATTAAACCTTGCTAGACCAAACCAGACCAAGTAACAGGGCAGATCTGTGGAGAAGCAACCTGATGCACAATATGGTAGAGCCCAACCGCTGGCGTGTTCATGATTATTAAATGTTACTGCTATTATGCCGTGATTAAAGCAGTAAGAGATGTTTACAACTGTTATTCACGGAACTGTGACGTACCGGCAACGTAGAAGTTAACCGCTTAACAGATACACTACCACAACCTAAAAAAACAGTTATGTCAGGTCAAAGAGTGTCATAAGACCCCCCCCCCAACCTAAAGACAGCTCCACATGGTGCTGCTGAGAGCGAGTACAGCTGTGGGTTAGAGAGGTCACAGAGAGGTCAGTCCTACAGCAAAGGTTTCCCCTTCAGAAAACCACAACTTTTACTACTCCGGTTTTTACCTCTGACACAAACAGTGTTATAAACGAAATTACGAGTTTGAAGTTTTGGTATTATACAAGCAAAATTTTATATTTGTGGTAAACTCGACAACCAGCCAAGGAGTCACTATGGTAAATGAGTTTTGTATTTTTAAAAATGTGGTTCTTTGCAAATAGAATCAATGAATACAATGTTTTTGTTTTGTTTTTTAAGATAAATCAAATTAGTTGAAGCATAGTGTGAGATTTTTATACCTTATAAGTTTTTTCTCAAACTCTCACTTTTTTACTTTACTTCCAACTGGGGATGTCTAATTCCAAAAAAAAAAAGCATTTGATAAAGACAATGTGAATTAACACTGTTGCTTAGTGATTGTGTTAATAATTGTGAATATTTTTTCTTTAAAAATAGTAAATTTTCTATTGTAAGATCCCTATTTCCAAATTTCAAAACATGAAAGAACAAAAATGAACAAATCTCTTTAATATTATATGTAACTGTAGTAGCAGGTGGGGTTGTGAAAAGTATAGAAAATCAGATACTAAACAATACAAAAATAATATCAAAAGTAGATACTAATTTTTTGTAGTTATCGATACTAAAAAGTCACATTGACAGGACAGAAGACACAGATATAAGACCACATGGGAATATAAAAGAAAGTACATTCTATAGTCTAAATAAAGTGTTGTGGAATTTGTGCGTAATAAAAAGGAACCGACAGCTCACATTTCAGACACAGAGAGTCGTGTGCTGCTTTATTAACTGAACTCACAACAACAACAAAACGGTTAATAACAGTAAACAGAACAGCTTAAAGGGACCGCAACTATACTGTATTTAGAGCACAAATCTGAAAACTGAACATTGAACATAGGTAAGAATGTAACTAATGTGTCTCTAGTTAGTGGTGAATTATTTAAACATGTATGCCAAAGGTACTACAGTGTTTTTATTATCCTCATGGTGTCAGAAGCAGTATTGAGTATTGAGTCTAATCCTTAATATCGAAAATGTTGAAATTTGAGTATCATGACGCACTAGCAGCAGTATTCAGTATTTAGTATTCCTTTCAGTATGTCTCTACAGTACATGATCGCACTGCTTTAACTCTGAACGAACCCGCGTGAACCTTTGACCTGCGTTCACTTCTTCACATATGGTGCCGTACATGTGGGTGGACAGAAAGATTTCCTCTTCTGTTTGGGGAAGGGGCCTGAAAATGAGACTGATGTTGCGTGACTGAACGGGTGTCACACGCACGCCCATCGCCACCGCTCGCGCTTTTCAAACCACACACGAGCTTTCCCCAAACTGCTCTCGGTACCACAACGTGTAAAGTGTACGACAACAGGGGTGTTTGGGGTTTAATACACACAATTTCTAACTGTCATAAAGTTTGTGGTTCATAACAAAAACATCAACACACATGTAAGTGTACGTGGGATGGTTGTAAGGGTGTGGGTGTTGACAATCTGTATTTTTTGCATCACCTTTACAACAGCATGAAACTTTAGCTTGTCTGTAAATGTCTTGGCTGAGGTTCAAGTATTGCGCACAAAACTAGACCATAAATTTATCAAAAAAAGGCCAGAAATGTCACGTTCTACCCTTGTTTGGGAGATTACGCTCAATGTTTCTGTACATTATATTTAATCAGATGTTTTTGCTGTCATTTTTAATAGTTCCAAACAATATACTTGATTTAAATTTTGCATATCTCCAGAAGTACAGTTGTGGTTTTTGTCTCCTCCCACATCTAACTTGTTGCAATGTTGTTGTCTTACAAAATCAGATATAATTATGACACAAATAGGTTTAGTTTACAGATTAATGCATTTTTGTATTCTTAATTTAAGTATAAATTTTTCTGTTGTGCTCTTTTTTTGGACAATCACAGAAAAAAACTATATAATATCTAACATAATATCAAATGAAAATATTATAGCCTACATTTAATTTCTAAAAAGTTTTTCATTTAAGTTTTTTTTTAAAACATATTTTAATGGCCAAAAAGGGACAAATTCAACTATCATTTAATAGTCAAAGAGAAACCATATATACCAATATTTAATCTAATGGAATATGCTGTTCTATATATTAAAATGAGTTATTAATTATTTTTCAGTATTTTTTTGTTTTTTCATGGTCAAAGAGTTACAAATTCTTCACCAATAAATAACCAGTATTAGATCTGACAGTGTGACATCTCTATGGAACCAAAATAATGAAAAATTATGACTGTTAAAAGCACAATATAAGTGGTGAAACAATCAGGTGCTCTACGGAGCTCCCGAGTGGGCAGAATCATTTACTAGATGAAAGAAGAGATCCAAGGCGCTCTGATATGCTTAGCTATAATTTTATTTCATGTCGAATGCTAATGTATTTCGGCTTGCGTCTTCATCAGTGCACGTGAAATTCACAGGTGTATACGGATTGTTTTTTAATTTACAAGATGATGCCATTGTGATGTGACAAATCACCCATACAAAATATATACATACATTATAAAGAGCAAAGTGATGCATCACATAATATGAGCAGAATACAGTATAATACAGGGTAGCCGCAGGGTCTTAAACGTCTTAAAAAGGTCTTAAATTTATAAAATGACTAACTAACTAACTAAATTTCATGTTCCCAGATTAAGGTGGTCCAGGTGGTTATTATCACACCATTCAATGATGGCAGGTAGAGCTTGGCCATGGTCTGGTGACGATGACAGAATTCCAAGAAAAAAACTGTTTATGAACAGCAAGTTTACATTTACAATTTCACTCACAACTTACTGTATATGTAAGAGACAAAATACAAATTAAAACAAACAAAATTGAATGCATAATTCATTCATTCCAGAGCTCTATATCTTTCAAAACATAATGCTTTATACTCTTTTTTTAAAGGCTTCTACGGTATTAGACTTTTTAAAATCATCACTCAGGTTGTTCCATACACTAACCCCTCTAACAGAAATACAGTCCCTTTTTTTTAGTTCTTATCTTAATTTTTTTAAAGATATGTGTTCCTCTAAGGTTATATTGACTCTCTCTCTGCTCAAACAGGGTAGCCGCAGGGTCTTAAAAGTCTTAAAAAGGTCTGAAATTTCATGTTCCCAAATTAAAAAGTTTTAAATTATGTTGTCCAAGTCTTATTTTTTTCACAAAGTTCTTACATTTCATTAGCCTGTTTTTTGTGTAATCAACCGGGCTGCAGTGCAATGTTAAGTGGCGGGAGGAAAAAAAACTACAACGTGAAATCAAGTATGTGCAAACAATATTTTGGTTTCTGGCGCTGGCAGCAATGACTAAACAATCAGTAGAGTGGAGGAAGACGTTGGATGGATGATGGAGAAGTGTAGGTTTAATCCACAGTGGCTTTTAGATTCTAGATATAGTAGTTTGTTGGTCATTATTAGAATTGGATCTGTTTTCTTAAAAAAGTCTTAAATATGGGGTAGTCAAACCTGGGGACACCCTGAATTTTACATGTGCATTGGTGTTTGAAATGAAGTAAAATTATAGCTATGCATATCAGAGTGCCTCAGATCTGGTCTTTCATCTAGTACAATAGTATAACTTTTGTGTGATCAACCGTCCTCAAAATAATACCATATAACAGGAAGCTGAAAGAGATATACCTGTAGTGTATATTATTCACAGTGTATATTATTCTCACTTCACGTTTTCATTCTTTTGTTCTTCTTCTGTTAAATGCAGGGAGCTGTTGGAACAAGTGGCTGAGTTTGAAAAGACGGACTTCAAAACCCCAGACAAGGTGAGTGAAGGTGACAGTCCCATGAATCATTGGCTGAAACAATATTTTGACCCACATAGAAACCATAACTACGAGGAGGTTGCGTTAAAGAGCTTATTTTCAAGTCGTTTTATATTTCAGTGACTTTTTGGTTCAATGGTGACACATATAGAGTGATGACAAGTGCATTTAACCGCTCGTATCGACTGTGTAATGCTATACGCCTCTTTGATTTATGTTATTTTAAAGCTGATTCATGGGACTTTGATACGTGAGACAAAACATACTATAGTAGTTCATAATATTTCTCATTTCAGCCCAACCAAGAGTCAAGTAAACCCAAGTTAGCGCCGCTCAATGAAGGAGGGGTATCTGAACTGCTGAATAAGGTAAGATTATGTGAAACTAACAGTACGTGGAATGCAGTTTTGTGACTGTTTGTAGCTTTGTAAGTTATAATCAACTTTTATGAATATTTTGTATTTCTTCAGGAGATTGCCAGACTACAAGAAGAAAATGACAAAATGAAAGCCAGATTGCGGACCTTAGAAACACAGGTATTATACTAGACTAAGCTGCAGTACACTAGCCTGATTCATGAGCCGGTTTCACTTCATAGAATTGGTCTGACCTCGCAGCATTAGGATTCATTCGCTCGACAGTAGGCACATACTTTTTTTATTTAACCAATCGCTGCTATTTGGTTGTGACGTATGTAATGCGCTGGAACGCTCAGTGGTGTCCAAGTAATTGCCAGTTTCACAGCTCTTTGCTGATTGGCCGGTGTACAACTTCTGGGATTCTTGCAAACCCTCTAGTGTATTCCAATTCCTGCCCTAGTCGCTGGAAAGAAATGAAATTGAGCAGAGGCACTAGGTGGCGCCAGCAAGGCTACCATTACACAACACTTTTGTCATAAACAAGTAAATTCTGTTTTCCTCTGTGTGTTTTGTTAAAGCAACATGTCTCTATATAATTGGAAAAGCTTTATGTAATGCTTTGAAAGAAAGGGCCATGTGAGTCACTATGCAACATTTTGGGATGAGTGTTGATTGGCTGTCCTTTGGTGATGCACTCTAAAGCTGCATTACTATTTCACTGCTACCAAAATAAAAGGTTTCTGAGAACTGGGGACAAGCTTTGCTCCACTTCACAAATTACAAATACAACCTCTAGCCATAAGCATACAACTGTTGATTATTTTCTGCTTTATTCATTTTCTGTTTATTAATGTTTACTGTTTTGTTGTATTTGAAAATTATTATCACTGAGGATTTTGTTTTCTTTCTGCAGGCCATGAGTGCTCTGGATGAAAAGACAAAAGCTGAAAGGGCCCTCAAAGACCTTCAGAAAGTGCATGGGGAACAGAAGGTACAGTAATAATGCAGGAATTGTACTTTTTTTAATTATTATTTTCACCACAAATCTTATATATCTGAAATAGGTTATGGGTTATGACGGCTAAATATTCTCTAGATTTCTAAAATTTCATTGTTGTAAAATATAATAATCCATTTATTTTTCACATTTTACTTTTGATTTGATTTTTTAAAAAATGTTGTCTGTTTGTTTATCTGCTATCTTGGGCCTGTTTTGGTATGTACCCTGTGTGTGTGACTTGTTTCTAGTGTTGTTTAGCATGTAACAGTAGTTATAGCTTAAATGTTACCAATAGTTTTTAAATCTTGTTGATTGTAGAAATGCTACTTTTTCTTTAAACCTGGCCTCACAAGCTCTCATTCAATCATTAATGACATATTTGTATGAAAATCATATCTAAAAGAGAAAGTGAAAGGTGAGGTCGCGTGCACCAGAGACAGAAGAATCATGGTCTATGAAGTTCCTTCTGATTCCAGCTTATTATTCAATATGTAGGTAAAATATTATATTGTGACACTGGCTAAGTTTAGTCCCGAAATTTCCCAAATTTGATGCAGTGTTTGTGTAAATACAGATGCACTCATAGCTTTTCTTGTAACACATGCACAGTCATAGAAATACTCAATACTCTACTACTCAATTTAGTTACTTAAATAAAAGTAGCCTACAGATACTGATAGAAAAGTCTACTTTAGTAAAAGCATTAAAGTACCCATTTAAAAAAATACATAAAGATTAAAAAGTAAGTACAAGTATTTTGCGCAGAGTTTGAGATCTAATAAAACTTGAAATGTTGTGATTTTGATTCAGATTTGTGCTGAATTTTGTTCAACAGAAACAACTGATTTGGTTTGGAATTGGTCTTTATTTGTTTTTTGTTTTGCTTAAACTTTGACCTTGATTAAAAATAAAATCCTACAGTGTATTCAGTTGGTCTCACACAATAATAAAAACACTTTTATTTTTTAGTCCTGTTCAAAAATGTAGCAGAGTGAAAAGTACAGATATTTGCTCTCAAAAGTAGCAAAGTAAAAGTAAAAAGTATCAACTTCAAAATGTACTTAACACGTACAGATACCTACATTTTTACTTAAGTACTTTGCTATTTTTACATCGTTGAGCTCCACTACTGTATGAATTCATTCACAACCCAGTCTGATGGTCGTCTTGTTCTCCCTCAGCTGCTGGCGCGCTCTCAGGAGATCAGCTGTCTGGAGGACACTGTGTCCGCTCTGAAGGAGGACTATGAGAAGTCCTTAAGTGCCAACGCCGCCTCCCAGAAGGACCTCCAGGAGAACCTCATCTCAGCCAAACACGAACTGCTCAGAGTCCAGGAGCAGCTCAGCCTGGCAGAGAAGGTCTGACACACGATAATACAGGACACAGAACACAGGGGTTGGTTTTGACTGGGGTAAATGGGAGCTAGTATTAGTATCAGGGCTATTGATACTTTACAGTGACATCGTGCCAGGGGTGTTCTACATGTATCTCTAAGGATGTAATGTTTAGGAGTTACCATGGTGACACAATGCATACATTAGCTGTCAAAACATTTTAAGATTTTCTGAAAACTCAAGAAGAAAACACAAAATGGATGGAGTTAAGGGGGCGTTGAGAAGATGAGGAGAGTGAAGAGGACAACGAGAAGATGAGGAAAGAACTGAACAATGAGAAGATGGAGAAGATGAGAAGAGTGAAGTAAACCACGGGAAGATGAGGAGAGAACTGAACAACGAAAAGATGAGGGGAGTGAGCTGAACCACAAGAACATGAGGAAGTGAAGTGAACAACGAGAAGATGAGGAGATTGAAATGAACCACAAGAAGATGAGGAGAGTGAAGTGAACCACGAGAAGATGAGAAGAGTGAAGTGAATAACGAGAAGATGAGGAGAGTGAAAGGGACCACAAGAAGATGAGGAGAGTGAAGTGAATAATGAGAAGATGAGGAGAGTGAAGTGAACCAGGAGAAGATGAGGAGAGTGAAGTGAACCAGGAGAAGATGAGGAGAGTGAAGTGAACCATGAGAAGATGAAGAGAGTAAAGGGGATGACGAGAAGATAAGGAGAGTGAATTGAACCATGAGAAGATCAGGAGAGTGAAGTGAACCACGAGAGGATGAGGAGAGAACTGAACAACAAGAAGATGTGGAGAGTGAAGTGAACAACAAGAAGATGTGGAGAGTGAAGTGAACAACAAGAAGATGTGGAGAGTGAAGTGAACAACAAGAAGATGAGGAGAGTGAAGGGGTGCTGAGGAGGAGGGGGTTTAAACTAGGCAGACTGGGCACTGATTGGACGAGGAGCAGAAGTGGCGAGTAGAAGGAAAGTGTAATGGGAGTGAGGTGATGAAGGCTGAGGAGCAGATAAGCTCTGGAGAAATGCTGATTTAGACAAAAGCTTGGTTAGATCTTCCAGGTTGAATTTACGCTAGTGCCATTACAAGACACTAATACACGAATCGCATTCCAGAATATGTTTGTACAGATATTACCTAAAGGGAATGTTTTATTCTGTCATCCGAGCGGCTTCTTCAGTTCTGGTCAGATTGCTGGTGGACACTGCCTGAGCTCCTCCCTTCAGTACACTGAAACTACTCTGAAACAAACACACCTACTTGTTTACAGTTTCTGGTTGTTAGAGACAGTTCACACTTTAATAGACCAAGCTGAGTCATATTTTGCATAATCATTTAAGCCCCTCACACCTCAGAGCATACAGGTTTTCGCTCTTGTTAGGATAGAGTTATAAACAAAGAGATGAATGATGTCTTCAGGGTTAGCTGTTTTTATTGCAGAGTAAAACAGGATATTTTGGATTTTGCTTTGTCATTAGAATGTTCAAAATCCCAGAATGGAGGCAATTGGAGGCAAAATGTAAAAAAAAAAGTAGAAGCAAAATGTGAAGAAAAAAAAAAAGCAGTAGATACATTTTTTTTTAAATTCTCATTTTCAGAAAACAACAAAATTTCGGGCAAGACCACATCCAAAAAACTGCCATAAATAACCATTGTCTGAACAAGCACTATTGTAGTAGAAAGTGTAGTAGTTGTTGTAGTTGTAGTAGTTGTAGTAGTTATAGTAGTTGTAGTAGTTGCTGTAGCTGTAAGTTTATTTCATCATAAATGTCTTTCAAATATTGGCCAATCCTCTTCGATTTATGTTGCATTGCTAATCTTGGTTCTTTCATTCTAACTGCTTTATATTCCACTTCACATTTGCCTCCTATTGTCTCAATCATGGAATTTAGACAGTTTTTGTTGACCAACTTTTAAATGACCTCTATGTCTGATTCAGGAGTTGGACAAGAAGTTCCAGCAGACAGCAGCCTATCGCAACATGAAGGAGATCCTGACCAAGAAGAACGAGCAGATCAAGGAACTCAGAAAAAGTTTACAAAGGTGAGGAGGACTGGACACTAAATGTTACAGTTCAGGGAAAATATTTGTGTCTGACCCCAGTGCACTACATTTACTTCTGTTTACATCACTGTTGCATTGGTCTTGTTCACATACGCTGCACGTTATTCAGCCCAAACACACACCATGAGCCATGTGATAGTCCTTCAGCTGAATGACAGTGAGCTTCAAGTGGACAGACAGAGCCACATGAATACACAGGCTCTCCTCCCCGGCACTATCAGACTGGTTTACAGTCCAGCATCAGCCATGGCTGAGCTGAGAGCTAACGTCGTGTCACTGACCTGAACCAAATGAGCTTCTGTAGAGCTTATCAGGGTCAAGGTGCTTTGTGGGGATCCAAACATAATTTGCATGGATTATTTGTACTTCATTTACTGTGACAATAAACAATCACTCTAGGCTCATATGCAGACATTTCTGTGCCAGGCTTTTGCTGTTCTAAGCTGTTTTTTATCACTTATCTGTATAGTCTCTGTGGATCAATCACAGCTGTTGTGTTCAGTGGAAATTCAATGTGTAGTGACTTTTTGGCCACTGTACTGCACATAGCATGTGCACTGCAGCATATGCACTTCAAAGTAAACACAGTAGCTTTCATGTGCGTCAGGGAGCTTTACGGGACAGCCGCATGTTGACACACAGACAGTGACAGGCTCACCTATGCAGACGGAGGCGGAGGGAGAGGTGTTTTTCATATTCACTTGATCCAAATTTCTTCATCAGAAGAACGTGTCAAACGGCAGCTTTGCAGCCCACTCATGCAAATATATGTGATCTGTGCGCTTTTTTACATAATTCTAAACACTTTCATATTGGACTTTGTAGGCCCACGGTCAGCTGTGTTCACACCACACTCGCCCCGCTCCAGAGTGTGATAGGGGGCTCCCGGGGGCGCTATCTGATACTAAGTCATAACACAAGTGGTGTATGACTCAAATGACATATTTTCTCTATGGCTCAGCTGGCTATTATTTGATTATACTAAATGAATGAATAAGCGATTAGTTTCAGTTTCATGTGAACCAAGTTCACTTTGCTTCAGAATCAGTGATTCTCTTTGAAGGCGTTGAGATTATAATGGGCATGTCACTAACTGTGTGTTTGTGTGCAGATATGAACCAGATGAATGAGGTGTCCTACGGCCGCTGGGTCTGAGTCAACAAGTGTCGGACACAGCACACATTCTGATGCTACACGTGGACAAAGAGAAGAACTCCTCTGAAACAGCTGCCATTCCATGTTCTATTTGGTCTCTATACTAAAACTTGACCACTATTAAACAGCAGCATGGTGACGTCTGAACTGAATTCTACTCAATTATATGACAATGACATCAGATGTCCTTTTTCTGTCCTCTGGTGTGGTACAGTAAAGACTGGGATAGAACTGAATGTAATGGTATCATGAATGTAAAGTTTGAGCATTTCCTACACACTACTAGACAATCACCTGGTACAATGTCCATTACTCATTTTTAAAACTAACTTTTTGGAGTCTCTATATTATGAATTACATGAGGAATCATCCATTTTTAAATTACACTTTATTTTTGTAAGTCAAACTGTAGCTCAATAAAAACACAATAAAAAGGAGGCTAATTTGAATAGGTAGAATAGCTGGCATTTCTATATCAAAAGATTCAAACCTTAACATTGACTTTTTTTGCAATATTTTCATGTGAGTGCATTCTTAACAGCAGCAGAGGGGGCAAGGACTCCAACTATTGACACGCCAAGCTAAAAATGCTTCTGGCAAAGTGAGTTAGCGGTGGAGAATGGACAGTTTGAGAGCTAAAGTAATTGGTAAATGTTTATGGGGCAGTAGCCATCTTTTCGTGTAATTCAGTCAAATCTGCCTTGACCAGTACACATATATTGTAAAAGCAGCTCTGTGGTTCAAAATAAGACCTGTGCGCTCTCTTTATTCAATTTGAAATGTTTTCATCATCTATAAACAAGAAGGAAGGCTGGTGCACAGTTAGCATGCTGGTTGTTGTTAGTGTTATTGTTAGCAAACTCCGCTCTGGCCTCTGAAAGTTGTAAAAAAAAAATGCTTCTCGTCGTTGTGGTGAATAACTGGACGCTAGGAATGTGTTTGGAAGTTAAGGAATAACTTTAAACCGGAGCTAACATTTTAAACAAACTAAATCTTGTTCAGCACCTTTAAAAACAGTTTATGAAGGACTGGAAGACACCCCCCTCCATCTTAACAGGGGGGAAAATATGTTCTTAAAAATACTCTAGGTTAGCTTCCTTTGCAGGTTTTTTCTGTTTCAGTTCTCAGTTTCGGTGTGGTGGTTAGCTCTCGCGTTTGGCAATTTAACTAAGAAAGTACCCTCAGACACGCTATGGACATGTGACAAACTTAATGACCTTTAAAAACAAATAAATATACTTTCTTTTGGCTTAACTTTATGTACGCAAATTTAAATAAGCTATTCTAAATGTATAAATCTTTGTGTAACTCTTGTGTAAGCTACACAAGCTAACAACTGCAGCTAAAGTGGGAACTCAGATTATAAACTTAACCAAACACTAGACACATCAAGAATCTCGGACTTCCGGTCATTGCGCCATGCATACCGGAAGAATTTTTCGAAAAAGTGAGCATCAAACCACAATTTTTGTTTTCCCATTGGGATGCGTCTATTGATAAAGTCGATCTTTTCTAGTCTTTTGAACCATATCACTTTTGTTTCTGGTTCTGATATTGTCATATTTTAGTTTTGGGATTCGAACATCGTAATTGTGTGGTTGTTGGATCCTAACAGCGGAAAACACGGCTTCAAGAAATTTGTTTTTGCGAACCCCATAAATGCAAAAGTGAATCAGATGTGTGTGACTGTAAACCTCCGTTCAAACTGTTTCCCTTCCCAACGGAATTGAAAAATAGTGAAAGGCGAACGCGATGGGCAGGATTGATCCACGGGAAGGCTAAATTATCCCGAGTTTGCAGCGAACATTTTGTATGTGGAGCGCCATCAAAGCAAAATCCCGATCCCTCACTCCACCTTGGTTATGAATTTAAAAAGTCAACGCCAAAGCGAAAGGCACCAGCTGTTCACCAAGAAACACCTGCAAAGAACAAGACGTGATGTTGCTGTAAAACTACAAGAACAAGAAAGTGCAAGCTCAGTCTGTTTGCCTTCTGTACCTCTCGATTAACAAATGGGATTTTGTTTTGTTGCTGCTCCACATACAAAATGATCGCTGCAAACTCAGGATGATTTAGGCAGTCAAAGGTTTCCTTTTTGGTCCTTCCTGTGGATCAGTCCTGCCCATTTCCTTCAGCTTTCACAATTTTTCAGTTTCATTGGGAAGGGAAACAGTTTGAACGGAGGTTTCAGTCACACAGATCTGATTCCCTTTTCCACTTATGAAGTTCGCAAACAAATTTCTCAAGCCGTTTTCCGCTGTTAGGATCCAACAACCACACAATTAACAATGTCCGAATCCCAAAACTAAAATATGACAATATCAGAACCAGAAACAAAAGTGATACAGTTCAAAAGACTAGAAAAGACTGGCTTTGTCAATAGATGCATCCCAATGGGAAATCAAACATGGCGGTTTGATGCTCACTTTTTCAGAAAATCCTTCCCAGTATGCATGGCGCAATGACCGGAAGCCCGAGATTCTTGATGTGTCTATTGTCATACCACAAAATATTAGGACATTTTTGGTAACATTATTTCTAAGGATGCGTTACTATTCAAATCATGGGGGTGGAAACTCTTATCCAGGTTCTGTACTGTACCAGTCCAGAGGAAATAGCTCCTTTAGCGCGATGACTTCCCTGTACGCTCTATGCAATCAGCCCTTGGAAAGAGGCCTTGTTAGCTCAGTGGGAGTTTGTTGTCTGCCTACAAATGTTAAATCTTCAACAAAACATATTACAGACTGTATGCTAACTTTAGTTTAAGATTACGCTCCTTTTCAGATTCATGCTACTCCACTGACATGATTTGTGTGATTTTGTTTGCGGTGATTTGACATTCTGTGAAAGTCCCATCACTCAGAACACAGGAGTTTACCTTCGGATTATATATCATATTATAATACATTATATAGTTGGGAGGGAATTTGTGAAATAAGGATTGTGCACTTCTGGAAAAGGTTTTGATTTTTGGCAGGGTGTTAGGTTTGGGCCTAAGGTTTTTAAAAATCCATGGATACAAGTTGGGATCGCCCCCTAGTGTCCAGTGTACTTAAAATCCAAAATGATCCCCGACAAAAAGAGAAAAGGTTGTGTCCCACCTTCCCTTTGTCTTAAATTGTTGTATAATGACACTTTTTCTACTTGACTTGACAAAAGCAATGTGATTTTAACACTATCTTCCTATTTTAAGGCCACTTTCATGCCAAATTTATTGTCATGGTCACTTTTGCTTGATAAACTGTCTATATCTCTTAAATGAAATAACATACTGTATAAAGATCATTCAGGCCTCGAAACCCACATGTTCACCCTTAAGGAATAATATTGCCAACACAACACACCACATAGTGCTAGTGACCTGTCCAATCAACAAAGAAAAGCACCTTAGAGTTAAAAATATAGGTCTAGGGCCCTGAGTAATATTTAAATGTGACTTTTTCAAAGATATTGACAGTTTATTTTAGTTAATTATGACTATGATAATAGATTTAACATAAAAATGAACTAAAAATAAGAAGAATATATCATAATTGGATTGCTTGTATCAAACAAAGTAGAAAAGTGACATTACACAACAATTTAAGAGTAAAGGAAGTGGAGTTATAACCTTTTCTTGTTTCGGCAGGGGCCATTTTATGTACACCGGCCACTAGGGGGCGCTCCAACTTGTATCCATGGATTTTTGAAAACCTTAGGTCCATACCTAACACCCTGCCAAAAATCCAAAACTTTTCCAGAAGTGCATGATTTGCATGAATTCCCCCCTGGCTAATAGGGTACCACTTTAGAATAACTACACCTTCACTACAATCACAACTGAACCTGTGCTGCCAAAGCCTTAACCTGCACATAGAGGACACATAAGTACACAACTGTCTCATTCTCACTATATCAGGGGTCTCCAACCTGTAGATCTCCTCCCGCTTCCAAATAGCTCACCACAGGGGTTTCTGAATTATACCATTGTGCTGAATATCAAAAATTTGGATAATACATGCCTATTACTATTGTACATGTGCCATTTTGAAGCCCAACTTTGAGCACTAATAAACGGACAGAGGTTTATATTTTATCGGCGTCTAACTGCACCCAAAGGCTCGCCCTCTTTCTTATAATCATCTCAATTTCTTGCAGATGCTAAAATGAGCTAGCTTGATTCATCAGCCGGTTTCACTTCATAGTAACCGTCTGACCTCGCAGCATTAGAATTCGTTTTCTCGACAGTAGGCGGGTACTTTTTTTTATTTAACCAGTCGCTGCTATTTGATCATGATGTATGTAATGCGCCGCTAACGGGGCTAACTGGTATATTAAGCTTTTCCCAAATCCTGTAGGAAGAAGGGCAATAACGTCTTTCCCCTTGATAAAATTCACCAGACATTCTCTTTATTCCAGCTTTAAATCCTTGATCTCAGGAATTGTTGACAACGCAGAATTTATGGCTCTTCGCTGATTGGCTGGTGCCTGAACTTGCACCTCCGGGGTTTTTGCGAACCGTCTAGTGATTCCTGATCTAGTCGCTGGAGAGAAATGAAATTGAGCGGAGGCACTAGGTGGCGCAGGCTTGGCTAAAAATGAGCAGCTCTCATTTTTGTTTTATAAAGGTAGCTCACCGGAGGAAAAAGGTTGGAGACCCCTGCAGTATATGGACAGACCATGCCTCATGTGAAAGCTCAGAACCTCCAGAATTCCCTCCCCGAGCTGCAGAGGCTGCACTAACATGACTGGCTGTAGGTGCTGGGGTTTAGGTAGTGACCATTTAGATCAGAGAGAAGCATTTTGGTTTAAACCAGCTGGATTTGAGCATTGAAACTGGCAACACAAACCACAAACAAGAGACACATGTGAGGCTCATTCTGCTTTCTGATAATAGTTAATTGATAAAAGTGGATAATAGTTTTGAATTAAGAAATACAAGATTATAACAACAACATACACAACATGACCATCCTGTCCAATGCTTTTGTAATAATTCATTTAATAATTAAACATTTTGATGGCAAATATCATCAGTAACAGCTATATTTGATTTGAACAGCTTTACCTTAAATCCTCCTATAGTTTTTTAATTAGCCTTAATAAAGCATGAACAAAGAATTCATAATAAACAAATAGTTTATTGAATGATTCAGGCTAACTGAGGTGTAGTTCTGTAAGTGGTACCCCGTATAGTTCTTTCCCACACATAGAGAAAATGATTTAAAAGTTGGGGAAGAGGGACTGCTTTCTTCAATCTTTGTTATTGCCGTGAGTGAGTGACTATGAGAATACAATCTAAACAAGATGTTGTACTGCTCTTGTAGAGTGTGAAACATCTGTACCTTTAAACTAAACTAGCTGTGGACTTGTTTGTATTGTGCAACATATGGGGAAATAAAATGATGATACTGAAATGGTGATTACTAGTATTGTTTTAACTTTGTATCATGTTATTTTAGTAAGGAACTAGAAGCTTCTATTGAAAACATGCAAGTTAACATAAAGATTTATTCTCCCTTTGAACAATGGTATGGTATAGTATTAAATTATGAAGGATAACTGGTTACTTTTAGATAACAAAAATATCGAAAACTGAAGTTAAAGGCACTCATTTTAATTTTTGTAACATTTCTGATAAAGTGTCCACCACCTTGCCTGGGTTCCAGAATACTTACTTCTTCAGTACTTGATGAAGATGTGAGTCTGGTCACCAGTTCATCTGCCCCAATCTGACTGGATGATACTGTTTGGCTCTGTCCTGAAGCGCAACCGAGGAAGAGGTGACCAGAAGATTTCATTCTGGACAGGCCAGACAATCCACAACCTGCAGTAATTAAATAATTGTAAGATATATTTGATGCCACAGTGTGAAATAATTCAGGCAAAGCAAAAACATCTCCATAGAGACGAGCAGAAATCATATTTTAAGGTACATAGAGTAGTAATAGTATTCTCAATGCAATAATGCGTTCATACATTTCAGAGCATGCTTTGAGAAGGTCTAAACCAATGTTGGTCAATTTTAATATTATTGTGTCTGCAAAGGAACAAACAATGTTGCTTAAATGATCTACACTTTTCATATTGTCAGAATTTGCTTTAGATTGTGATAAATCTGGCTGCTTGAGTGCGCACAGTAAATCACAGTTTCTTTTAAGGCACAGGAAGTGGTTTTGTGCTGTGAAAGCGACAGCACTTTCCCACAATATGGCTCTCTCCTGTACTTCCTGTTCATCACTAACACATCAAAGTAACTGTTCATTTGTACACATACATGTGCACTGGGTAGGAAGGTTACAGACCTGTACCCAGCGTTTTTCTCATGCAGGCTGTAGAATTTTTCAGTTCAAACAAAGAGCAGCTCAACAGAGATGTCAAAATATGTTTGCTCCATGCTGTCTGTAATTATTATTGTCTGGTAATCAGGAAGTGCGCATTAACATGCTAATTGTTTTTAGGTTTACCCTGGGAAAAATTATAATGACACATATTAGAGCTAAACAGGTTTGGGGAGTAACTAGTTACAAAGTAAGGCTTTACTGTAATCAGATTCCTTTTTAAATAACACTGTAATGTAGTTACAAGTGAATAATTAGATTACAGTTGTTATTATTATTATTATTATTTTGTGTAATATATTTAGTTTTATAAAAATTTTATTAAATAAAGTTTGTTAAAAAAAATGAAAGTCGCATTGCATTGTGGGAATTTTGCAGCACTCCAAGTTGGCCAAGGATTCACAGATGCATCCTGGATAAATAAGACAAACGGAGGAGTTGAGCCCAGAGAATTAGAGCTGTGATAAAAGAGTAAAAAGATAAACAGGGGTGTGTGAAGTGCTCTTCTGGTGTCTGATGCAGATCTGCTGTGAAACAAAACAACACAAATATGCCGAGTCTCGAGGCAGAAAACAAAACAAGCACAACATACAACAGGAGATGAGTTATTCAGTAAAACAGAAGGTAAAAGAAGTTTTACCTTGACACATTTCTGAATAAGTCCATTATTCTACTTAAATGAATATGACTAATCTGGCAACATTCTGGGACTGGGGCATGACCTTTATCCCCCCTTCTCTCATGGAGTCACTCCCTCCCTCCCTCCCTCCCCCACCCTCTCGTCTCTTGGTAGGGATGGGAAGTCTATCCCTGGGTTCCTTCCTCTGTTCCTTCCTCTGTCCCTGTCTCTCTCTCTCCCTTGGTCTCTTCCTCCCTCATCCAGAGGTGCTGCTTGATCTCGTCCATAGGTATGCAGATGTTGTAGTCTTTGTCCATCATTTTGCGTAATAAGTATTTGCATTCTAAAAACAGAGAACAAAGTTTATCATTAGAAGTGTTGTATATCGCTGTCTGGGTGTGACTGTATTTCTAGTTGAGGTGTACAGGCATAACCAGTGTAACAAAACGACTGACTCGTACCATCTGACAGTTCGTCCCAGATCAGGGGCTCGTAGGAGAATTCGATGTCCTCCTCGTCGTTGTACGGCCTCTCAATGTGCAGCACAGAGTACAAGACCAGGCCTAGCTGCCACACTGTGGGGGGGTACGCCATGTAACCACCAAATAGTTGATAATATATGTATGAAATCCTGTGTAGTTGTACAATGAGTGCAGTTTGGGTCTGAAACAGAGATGCATCATTGTTTTGAGAGCTTTTGCCATGCTCCCTTTTTAATGGAGTAATCGATCTGCAGGACTTGTCTTTAGATCACCAAAAATTTAGACTTACATCTTACCTAGTGATCACCAAATCATAACAATAGTGTTCACGTGGCCATACCGGCTTGTCAAAGCCGGATCCTGTCAAATCTCAGAAGCTCAGCAAGGCCAGGCTTGGTTAGTACTTGGATGGATTACTTGCTGGGAAAATCAGGTGCCACAGTGGGGCGCCGTTGTGTCCTTAGGCAAGACACTTCACCCACACTGCCTAGTATGAAAGTGGTGTGTGCATGAGTGATGGTGGTGGTCGGAGGGACTGATGGCGCCGACTGGCAGCTGCGCTTCTGTCAGTCTGCCCCAGGGCAGCTGTGGTTACTATTGTAGCTTACCACCACCGGGTCTGGAGTAAATGAATAATGCTGAATAATGCTCTGTAAAGTGTCTTTGTGACATATGTCTGTGAAAAGTGCTATATAAAACATAATTATTCATATAAAAGCAAGTTTTACTTACATTTATATGAATAATTACCGTTTGTAAGTTTACAGCAGTTATGAAATTACAACACAACAAAGGAAAATCAAAACCAGTATTTAAAGTTTATTGCAATTTCCCGTTCAAATCAAAAATGTTCTCTGCAAAACTTCTACTTTCACAAGACAAATTTTAAAAAGCAAAAATACTAGGTGGAGGTTAAACAAAAATCTAAATAAAAAAAAATATATAGTTCTTTGCACATAAAGAAATGAGAGAACCAAGTATGAGTAGTGCAAAGCTTAAAAATAAGGCATAGTTACATTATCTTCAGAAGCAATGATCATCTTTAGCACTATGGTTCCAGATACTAAAACGTATGAAATTCACAACTTCTGACGCAAAGTTGAATGAGGTCTTGAAAAGTCCATTGATTTTGGCAAACTGGATTTACTGAGAAAATAGCTTTTTGTCTTCACTGTAGAGTAAAGACTTCGGTTTCTTTCACTGAAAGAAGGGAGCAGCAAGCAGCAGAAAATACTGTTAGACCAGGCAAAGAGGACACTGAAGTAGGACTGCACAATACTGTCAAATTAATTATACCAGAAAGGAGCAGAAAACAATGAAAAAGTCTGGACCACTAATTCACTGATACATAATAGCCTTACGTTAAGTGGCTTACTCAGATTTCTGAACTCTCCCAATTTGGTTTCCTATAGTCAAATTATGTAAGCACCATTCGTGTATATAATACCTTTTCCCAATCGTATTAATCAACACTGGTGCAAAACTGATCATACTGAATATGTTGTTTTGAAGATATCTTACATTTAATATCAAGTATAGTGTTACAATTATAAAACATGATTCAAAATGAAAATGTCTGATACTTAAACAGCAATTTATGAATTTAAAAGATTTATGTTTCAGTACACTTCTGATGCACTGACATGAAATTGTTCTATTGTTATTGGGAAACCCCCCCCCCAAAAAAAAAAAAAAAAACATTATATTTGTCTCAATATCGTTGCAGTGATGAAGAAGAGGTCAGGGGTAAGAGGCAACCTGCGTCACACCTCTTAGAATATATAAGAGAATATGCTGACATTTATGATTTAATATATTATTAAAACCATAGTTTAAATGTTTATAACCAATAAAAAATAAAATAAAACAATAAAACTGCCCCACATTCCCACATATAATTAACTCTGATCTGAATTTCTATAAATTAGCAAAATGAAAAAATTTAATGGTTTGAGTTTTGACATTTATTCGACTTTAGTGTTGATAATATTGTGCAGCCCTAAATGACAAATGACTCCATCTAAATTACATGAGCAGAATCTCGGGCTCTGACACGGCACAGTAGAGCATAAAGCCCATCTGGTCCACCTGATCCTCCGACAGCCCATTTAACAGATTGACCGCTGGTTTGAAATAACTGTGTAATGCCCCTTGCTCCAGGTAGCCAATCAGCTCGGTGATACACTGCTGAAACCGCGCCTCCAGACTGCTTTCTGCCCAATCGCTCTCACTGTCGCTGAGGTGGAGGATGAGATTGGCCAATGGGGCGGCCTCGAGGGGGCGAAGGGCGGGGTTTAGTCTGCATATAGACTTGAGGATTTTGAGTAAGAGTCTGCGACAGCCATCGTCCGCCGTGTCGAGCTGGGCCAGCCTCTGAGTCTCCCACGGGTACAGGGACAGGTGCCAGGCGTTACCCCAAGGAGAGGTGAGCTCCGGCTGGGCAGTCAGGGCCACGTCGCCCTCCCTCAGCACCGGCAGCATGGTGATGATGAGGCTTGAGTCCATGTTGGCATCGCCTCCTGTGGCACTTGAAACCCTGAGAATAAAAAGTGACAGTTTGGTGTCATGGTGTGTGTTCAGTGAATGAATGAATGTGAGATGATTAAATGTACAGCAAGCACTAAACAAAACTGCCTTTTTCTTTCAAATGTGTTTTTTGAAGTTTTGAAAGGACAATATACATCAAGTTAGATAAAAAAAAACAAAAAAACAGCTAGTTTCCATCCGCTGTGCTAACTTGGCCCATGTCAGATTGATATGTGTAGCACTCTGAATCTTGGATGGTTCTCACTGAAAGCGTTCAGAAACAATGTGGAGCAAATCCAATCTGAAAAATCAAACTGTTGTGACATCCAGCTGAGAGAAAAGCACAGACCTGCAAAGCACAGATCTTCCCTGTCCACAAATGCACAAAGCTCTTACTTTCTGCACGTTTTCACAAACTAAATAGTCCGTGTTGACGCAAAAATGGAAAAAGCACATCGGTGTCACCATGTTTGTTTTGTTTCTTGAGCGCTTGACCTATGACTTCCACACAAACCTTGTGATTGGTGCAATTATTATATATTTCAGTGGGCACATGCCAAGATGGAATCTCGTGAGTTTGTGAACTCAAATATCGTGAAAATCCATCATGCTGTGCAAGGTTACAGCTGTCCCTGACAAAAATAAATGATACAATGCAATTACATTCAGTCAGTAATTCACACTGTCCACTCTCTGACCGTTCATTTGGTTCAATGATGCTCAGAATTTGTATTCAGTGAAAAAAAGAACAGAGCTTTCTCAGGCTATTTTATGTTAGAATATAGCCAGTCTACTCTTAAAATAGACTGTAGGGGAGTTACTCTATCAGACTTTTTTGATGATGATTTGATGATTTCTTTTCTTTTCCTCCTGAGTCTGTCTCTCCCTTCACTGTGTTCAAAGAGGCTCCTGTGTCGGTGCTGCTCTGCCTCGTCTCCAGCAGCAGCAGAGACAGACAGAAGCTCCTCCCACACTGCCCTGCTCTTTTTACACACACTGCACTCTCCCAACACTTTTCTAAACACTAATACTATGTTATATTACATAGCAATGTCTCAGCAGACCGTTTTCTGAGTAAAACTCATGAGTTAGAGTCTGAGAATAAGATTGCATATATAGCGAGTTTGATTAAAGCTGATGTAAAGCCAAAAGCAATTCTGAAGTATTTAAAAGTTAATATATTTGTCATTCTTGGGTCTATCAACATAATAAAAAAGTGACTGAAGGATAAAATTCAACTCTGTTATAATATTTCAGCTGTAAGTCCCTATGGAGCTGTTATCTTGTTGCATTTGAGAAGGACAACTGACTAACTGTTTTCCTTTTGAACCAAAAAAAATGGGGGGACACACATGTATCGAATCATGACACTAGTGTCAAACAATTCAATATTATATAATATTGTCGCAACCCTAGAACTTACCATTATGCAGTTGTTTATTTTTAGAAAATAAAAGTTAACATGAATACATTTGGGACAAACCAGATTGATTTTTACACCTGTGTTGATAATATTTCATTTACTTGACAAATCTTTAACTGCTACTAAAGACTGAGCATCATGACAGAATAGGAATCCACTCACTGAATCCCCAGCCTGAAATCGGGTCCTCCCAGCACAGGTCTGACCACACAGTCCATGGTGCTGCTGATGGTGGGCCAGTTCATCGTCTCCATCACAGACTTACTGAACATGCTCACCACGGCCTCTGAAGACAGGTAACCACCCACCAGATGCCTACAGAGGACCAGACCTTTATCAGACGAGTTCACCAGAAAACATGATCAGGTCTTCAGAACGCTGTTAGTGTCCTTTTACCTGTCCCAGTAGCTCCGTCCTCTGGGGAAATACTCCAGGTTAACCCTCCGGACCATCCAGTGCAGAGGGTGTGTGAGCAGGGTCTCCTCCCCAGGAACCAGACGCCACAGGGACGACTCTAACTGGAGAGGCACCAGGAGACAGGCGTGGTCTGCACTCACCACCTACAAGGATATCAGACAATACTCAGAGTGACATCTCATCCTTGGGTTTCAGAATGATGAGAAATTAGAATGGTTGCCAGAGCAATTAATCATTTAAAATATGTTGCATATAACAGAAAGCTGATACCCATGAATATAGAACAACAGAACAGTGGAACTTAAAGGTGCACTGAGCAACGTTTTGGTGAAGCGTTGTTATGTTTTTGCTTTTCAAGTTGGTTAATGCTAAGTCAAAAATTTGTCTTTATGGAGGTCACCAGGGCAAGTTCCAGGTCAGATCAATGGAGAGACTAGCCTGCTCATTATAAGAAAGTTTTTTTCCTGGTCTACCAGGTTACCAGGTTTTGTATTCACTCTGTGTATCTATGTGTGTGTCTGTGTGTCTGTCCACCCGCGATAATTCCGCCATTTATGAACCGAATGTCACCAGTCAAGCCCCCGTGCCAATGCCGCAAAACAAATTATTAGAAAAAAATTATTATCTATTTACACTTCTATGCACTTGTATAGTAAAATATTAATAGTTTTCGAGATCATCAGTAATTAGAACAGTTCCTTTCTCTTTCAGTGTAGCCGTTAAAATTCCAATTGGAACAAAAATAATTTCCATTTCTTCTTTTTCTGGTGATACAAAACACACTGATCTACAGTCACACAACTAACATACACACAACTCATGAAAAATTTAATTTTCGTTACACGCTAGTAAACGCAGACATTCTCATGTGTGACCAATATCACACAAATGTTCATGGGCCTGTACAAATACACACATTACGTTGTGGATATAATGATCATGTAATATGGGCTGGGCTCCTCATAAACTGGCTTCTGTGGTGATGAACTGGCCCCACGATGCCTCATGGAGGACTAGGTTGCTATCTCTGATTGCGCTTGTTTTCCAATGTTTTCACTTAATGAAGTTATATTGTACATGTGTACACTAATATATAATCTACAACACCCGAGGATCATTATGTTATAATTTGCACATTTTAAACCGTAATATTCATCTAAAACGACTTAATAAAATCTGTTGACAGTAAGAAGACTGCAGTGCCCAATGGGAGATGACATGGCAGTAAACGTCATCACAACAAACAGCCGTGAAGTTGTCGGTACATCCTATGTATAGCTGCAGATCATGCTAGTGAAAGGTGAATTTTTTAATCATTTGTACCAAAATGACTATGCAAAGTTGCCGAATCCTACGCGTATCACTGATTAAGAAAATAAAATTGGGTAACAAAGTTAGTACAGGGCAGTGCCCGTGAAAACAGGAGTTGATTGACTATAGCATCTGGAAATAGCAGAAGATTGCTCAAACATGCACAAATCACTTCAAATAATCGCAGAAGCTAAATGAGAAGGGGAAACAACTAACGGATCTGAACAGTGGAAGATTTTGGATAATAGACAACTGTAATAGAACTGACATACAAATTCAGTGCTATGATATGGAACCGACCAGCCTAAGAAACAACATATCTACAGAGACAAGAACACAGGTGACCGCAACCAGAAAAGTCACATTTAAATAGTGGACATGATGCCGTCTGTACCTGCAGGTCATCCAGGAGTGACCCACCCAGGTTCATCTCTCCAAGGGGCATGTCCGGGTGTCTGCTGTGGAGGAAGCCCTGGATCTCAGTGCAGATGTCCAGAGCCAGAGCTTCTGCTCTCTGCACCTCCTGTGGGCTGAGAGCGGCCCGGCTGCGGTAGAACTGCTGCAGGCGCTCCTAAAAAAATGAAGTCTTGATTAGGTCACAGTAATAACTACATCGACTTATCATTTCATATATGCCAAATAGATCCATCATTTTTGGTCTCAATATTTATCGGGGGGACTTAAAAGATATTTTTCTGTCACTTGCTTGTTTCTATGGATATGTCATTACTCTGCCTGGAATGTGCCACAATATGACATTAAAACAGCTCTACCTTATATTTACTCAATTACAGGTGATTTTATAGCTCAAAACTATCTAAAAAAACAGACATTCTGACTGTGAGTGGGGTCGCCTCTCCACAGATCAGACCTGTAACTTGGTCTGGTTTGGTCTCCATGAAGATAGAAAGGTTTAATGTCATACTGTAAAATATTCCAGACAAAGCAATAACATCTCCACAGAGAAAAGCATTTGACAGACCCTCCATCAGAAAAGTTACACAATGCACCTTTAAGGGTCTAATGATCAACTTCTATGGCTCATTATAGACACAAACTCACGACTTAAAGAGTTTCATTCATATTTTCATACATTACATGTGTTTTTAAGAATTTTATACATTTAGAATAGTTCTGGGGGGATAATTGTACTTAGGGTTATTGAAGAATTTGTTGCATAAATTAATTCATGAAAAACAGAACTAGCTATTTCTTCATTTTCCTGCACATTATAATTAGATGCAGATGCAATACACAGTGGTCTAATTTTGACCACTGTGATATTGGGGGAAGAAACATTTCACTTTATTACATGGAAAAAAAAATACAACCCCAACAATAATTTGTCAATATAATGGAAATCCATGAGAAATGTGCAAAAACATGCCTGGCTGATGTTTAAGTGCCGCACAAAACTTGGATGGACTGCAAATTTATCACAAAACTTTTGAAATATTTTTTACACTGCAAGTTTGATTCATCGTTTATTTATTTTTGTTCTTAACTTGTCCTTTTTAACGGTTTGTTCAAATATAGGCAATATACTCAGTCATATAGTTTTGCATGCTTTGCCAAAACCGCAAATGTGATGCAGATTTTCTGATAAATCTCACACTCGAAACTGCATGGTTATTGTTTCTGAACCGTTTCAGATTTGCAGCCAGACTACAGAATAGAAATATACAAGATTTCTGATTTCCCAATGACACATTTCATAATACTCCAAATATTATTTTATGGTACCTGCAGAGTGAGCACACACAGCTGCAGCCTCTTGGACTTGGGTTCGGCTCCTTCCTGTCCCTCCAGGCTGGAGATTAGAGACTGCTGGCACAAGTCCGCTGGAGAAGGAACACATTGTGATCAAAGAAAATATTAAGCTCCAGTGTAGCTGAAAATCTATGATCAAATTGACATAATCGTACAATGGTTATGTTTACATGGCCACCAAAAATCTGGTCATTATCTGAATTCTGGGGTTCTCATTTCAAGGTCCTCTATTCTCTATATACTCTTGTGAGCTTTAAGCCATGGTATAATGTTGTGCCGTGGCCATACCAGCTTGTAAAACCCTGATCCTGTCAGATCTCAGAAGCTAAGTAGGGCCGGGCCTGGTTAGTACTTGGATGGGAGACCAGTGGGAATTCCAGGTGCCACAGGGGGGCGCCAGTGGCAAACACTGCAGTTGTGTCCTTAGGCAAGACACTTCACCCACATTGTCTAGTATGAAAGTGGTGTGTGTGATGTGGTGATGGAGGTGGTCAGAGGGACTGATGGCGCCAATTGGCATGGCAGCCGCGCTTCTGTCAGTCTGCCCCAGGGCAGCTGTGGCTACAATAGTAGTTTACCATCACCAGGTATAGAGTGAATGGATAATGCTGAATAATGCTCTGTAAAGCGTCTTTGTAACATATATCTGTGAAAAGCGTTATATAAATAAAGACTTACTTGTTTATAATGAGTTGTGTTTTGTTTCATTCACACGTTTGAGTAATACTTTCTTATTAATCTGTCTACAAATGCTTTAAATTTAACAGCTTCATTTTTATATTAAATACAATAGAGATTGGCAATTGCAGGTTTGAAATCATCCAAATTATTCTAGTGAAGGTGTATGGAGTTTATAAACACAGTGAAGCACTTCCTGTATTAGCACATGATATCACAAGGTGGAAAACTGGGTTTACTTTTTGAAAGAATAAATTGTATGGAAATCAGTCCCGAGTATTGAGCCTCTTCCTTGATACCAAAATCTAAGCAGTTACTATTTTGATCTCAATCATTTTTAAGTATATTATTTTCAGCGTAGATTCCACCTTTTGACTGTAGAAACTCCATACAACAGGAAAAGCAAAAAAAAAAAAAAAAAGCAAAAGTTTACCTTTCTGTTGTTTGGTTGCCGTGGAGACCTCCTGGAGCACCACGCCCTCTAAGCCTCTTCTAAGCAGAGTGGGAGAGGCAGACACTCGGCTGATCTCCTCCCAGCTCTCAGCCATCTTCTGCTCCACCTTCTCCTCCTCGGCAGCCCGGCCCGCACGCTCGATTAGCTGCACACAAACGGCAACAATAATGTACTGTCAAAGTTTACCACTGACTGTAATGACAAATACTGACAGAACTGGAGTGGTAATGCACAGTTGGCTGATGCAGATACTGACTGTTTAGAATGCAGAGCTACCGATGGCCAATGAGCTCTGCCAATATTTCTGAGCCGATATGATGTACCGATTTTGATTATTTTGCTCAACTTCTGTAATTTAAATTTACCACAAACTCACCCACAGCCCTTTTTTTACCACAAACGTATGGGAGAGCTGTGTTGTCATGTTTTGACCAGTTATCTTTTTGCACTAATGTGTTCAAATAAAGTTGTATGTATATTTTTTAGGCAGCAGGTCAGCCCAAACTAAATATTGGCCTATGCTGGAGTTTTAAGACCAACAGCTGGTATGCTGAAAAGTGCAACTATCGGTCCGACATCCCGGCCAACTGGTCTGTCTCTATTTGGAATGTCCAGCTGATTACTGTTTTTCCTAATACATAACATCTATTTTGGGCAATAGTTTATTATATAATTTTAGCACAGTCATATCAGAAGATTTTACAGTTGATTGGGGATCCCTATTAACACAATCAGGCGGTCACTATTAACAAATAAATAAATAAATAAAAATGTACATCGTTTTATTTACATCCAATAAAAATTGTGCCAAAGTAAGAACATACTCTTACACAGACAGGATGGACACATGGCTAAATTAGGATTAAGTTAGGAATAAAACATAGTCAACAGGAATTATGTTTTCAAACTGGTAAAAGGTAAATGATGATTTAGCACTTCACTGTCACTGTCAGTCATGAAAGACTAAAGTAAGTCTGAGAGAGTTCAATGCATTACTACTCAAACCATTGTCCAAAACACTACTGACCCGTTTTACTGCCAGTGTGGCGATCCCCAAGATGGCCGCCCCTCCAACGCCCAGGACCAGCCGAGCGTTGGAGAGCAGAAAGTTTATGACCACGGCGATCCCATCCTCCCCTCTGCGCCGCGTGCTCTGGAAGTCCATCGCCTCCCTCTGCGCTTACCCTGCACGGACAGAGACAAGACAAACACTATTTAAGAACTCACACATTTGTTTTATAAAGATAGATAAGACACAAAATTCTAGGTGTATAGTCAGAAAAATGTTATATTTCTTACAGGTAACAGCAACAGTGTTCATGTTTTGGAGTTATGGTTTGAATTTTGAAGATTTTTTTTATTGTGCAAACCAGAATTCCCAAGAAACCCACCTAGACACGAGGAGAAAACACAAAACTCCACACAGATTTTTTTCATTTCAAACTAATCTCCCATTTGATGTTGTAATGTCAATACCGAAAATGTGTTGTTGATAATATATCTTTTAAAATGCCATGTTTCTAATCACACACCATCAACTGTAAGTAAGAATCGTTGTATGGGCTAAAAGTATCTTATTTCTACGTCTACCCTCATGCTCATAGAGAAAGTGGTTAGGTTTTTGGGTCTATCTTGCAATCAAGCATAACGGTGGAAACTCTAGGGCAGATAGTAAGCCAGCTACACCACAATAACATATCACTTTTTCCACAGGCCATTTATAACCAGACTGCATGTGAAAACACTGACTATTCGCTAAGTATAACTAATATAAAACTGAATCCAAGTAAACACAACTCAACACTTAATAAAGATGCACGGTGTGATTTTTTTTTTTTTTTTAGTGGTAGTTACAGCACCTGCCCAGTTCCATGAAGATGTTATTGCTTTTCATGTTCCACAATACGGCATTATGGCAACTGTTCTGTCATGCATTTATTCAATTATAGATGTTTTGATTGCCCAGAAATACCCTGAAAACCATATACGCTTTTTTTTGTCATTGGTGTTTCTTTTCCACAGCTCTCACTGTAACTTTGCCTGGAAGAGATACACTTAATGCCATACTGTGGAACATCCTAGACCAGGGGTGTCAAACTCAAATTCACAGAGGGTCGAAATTAAAGACTGGGACTAAGTCGTGGGCCAAACTAAATATTTATTCATCTGCATGTTTTCTCTTCTTTCGAAATAATGTTAAACCTTTTCTTATTAAATTCAATGTTTAATAATTGATTTGCTTAACCACTGACTCCAGAACAAGTAAAATATAAAATAATAACAACATTTTAAATAAATAATGTCTCTATCTATAGCCTACCAGTAGCCGGCGGGCAGCTCTAATACATATTTGATATGATCTCGTGGGCCAAATATAATTATATCATGGGCCAAATTTGGCTCCAGGGGCTTGAGTTTGACATGTCTGTCCTAGACAATGAAATATATTTTTATTTTGAAAGTGTGAAAGGTTAAGACTACTCATTTCACTAAAAGATGGGTTAATATGATTATATTTAGATTTTACTACAAATCTCACCTAAATTTAGCTATTTATTTGATAGTATTTTATTATATTTTATCATATTTAATAGATTCATTTACCATAGAGTTATAAATGTACTTCCTGGTTGGACATGGGCATTTATGTCTTTATATATTTGTGTATTTATTTTTGGTGAAGTTATAATGAGACTTCCTGGTTGGGCATGGGCATTTATGTATTTATAAATTGATGTATTTATTTTTGGTGAAGTTCTAATTTTACTTCCTGGTCATGGGCATCAGATAAAAATTAGCACGGTAAATTATAAGGCATTTATTTTGTTATCTTAGTGCTTCATCTGTCAGAAAAACATGTCCTTTGCGTCCTTACAATTTTGGATGGATACATTATAATTACAAACAAAACCTGTCATATGCACTTCAAACGTTTCCCAATAGTCTACTTTAGATTTTTTAGCTTGATCACTTCCATTCATCTGGCCTCTCTAGCTGTCATCGGAGATCTGGACCTTCCCAAAGGCGCACAGACCCAGAATGCTCTATAAATAGTCCGTGCATGGGCCCTTCTGGCATGGGTTAACACACGGCAACCTTGCTTCACACGTATGTCACGTATCACACGGGAATCCAACCCCCAACCCGTGCGTAAAAGTCGCTCTCCAAAACAATAGTTCAGATTTGTTCATTTTAATTTTACATTCACTTTCACTGTGATCGCTATGGAGTAAAGCCATAACTAACATGCACTTTCAAATATGTAAACTGGTTTTAAATGAATCAACTTGAAGCCATTTAAAAGCAAAGTAACACGCCTGCAAACTTGTTTAGACCTGTTCCTGATGCTAATCGCGCTAGCACGTCACAAACTCACTCGCGTAAAACTACCAAAATCTTCAACAAAACGCGATCCTTACCACAAAAATGAAAGTATAACGCCGTATAATCGTAAATCATCAGCGTTAATTCGAAGCCAGACAAATAGATCTTCAGAAAACACGTAAAAAGTAGCAAAAGTCCATTGTTGTGGTGTCTGACGTAGGCGCAAGCTAACAGCTGCTCGGCTTCTACTGCTGTGCGGTGGAGGAGGGAGCCAGCCACAGCGCCACCGTGTGTTCAAGGTCAATGGGTTTATACAAAGTGGTCAAATTATTTGTGTTTATTATATTTATTTATTCATATTTTAGTCTCTTTTTTTCTCTCTGCTACTACAGTTTTGATTGTAAACATAGGCTGCCTCACTTTTTTTAATACTACTACTACTACTACTACTACTACTACTAATACTAATAATAATAAATAATAATAATAATAATAATAATGATTACTATTATATATTGCACTTTACATAAAATAATTTCAAAGTGCTACAGGCTCTACATAACTTACGGTACTGAGATTTGGGGCAATACATATAAGACTAATACAAATCCAGTCTTTACCTTGAAAAAAAGGCAATAAGAGCAATCACATTATCAGCTTATAACGAATCAACCAATACATTATTTATAAACCTTCAAACTCTAAAATGTTATGATTTAGTCGACCTTTATACTCTGAAAATCATGTTCAAAGTAGACAACAATCTCCTGTCAAAATCTTTACAGAACATGTTCAAAATCCAAAAGAGCCGATATGAGCTCAGAGGCACAGCCATGTTTATTAAAAAGAAAATCAGAACAAACATTATGAAATTTTGTAAATCTGTTAAAGGGGTGGAGCTCTGGAACAATTGTACAGAAAACCTAAAAGTGTGCACCAGTCTCTTTCACTTTATAAAGAAGTTTAAATGTTGAACTCTGGACAGATACATGAAATATGAGACTTAGTTGTACAATACTTTGTTTCAGTACTATACACTCACGCCTCACAGCAAGAAAGTTCTGGGTTCGATCCCCGTGTCGCCCAGGCCTTTCTGTGTGGAGTTTGCATGTTTCTCCCCGTGTCTGTACTGTTTCTGGTTTGTTTGTTTCCTCTTGCTGTATTTATGAAGATGAACTGGTGTCAAGATGACGCTCTGATAAAGGAATAAAGGGTAAAGGCATAATAAGCTTAAACTTCAGCCTCCGCCTTTTCGATCTGTGTATGTTAAATATGACTGTGAATTAATGTCAAAATATACCTGTGACCGAAATAAATTAATAAATAATAAAAAAATAAAACAGGTAAAAACAGTGAATAAAAAGTGCAACAGCATAACAGTGCATCAAGCTAAAACTATTACAGTGCACAGCAGAGAACCAATAAAATAAAACAGAAATAAAATACAATTAACAAAAGTCTTTAGTAAAAAGATATGTTTTAAGATTTCATTTAAAAACAGAAGTAGATTGTGGGTTGTCAGGTGGTCGGGGAGAGCATTCCAAAGCCTCGGAGCTGGAGCAGAAAAGGCCCGATCACCCATAGTGCAGAGTTTGCTTCTGTGGGGTTGGAGAGTGTTAGTGGATGCAGAGCGGAGGGTGCTTGAGGGGGTCTGGGGAGTGAGGAGTTCCTTAAGGTACTGGGGGGAGTGTCTGTGGATGCACTGGTGAGTGAGGAGGGAGACTTTGAACTCAATCCTGAGTGGGATAGGGAGCCAGTGAAGGGATTTCAGGATGGGGGTGATATAGCCAAATTTTCGCACCCTCATCAGGATCCTGGCAGCGCTGTTCTGGATGAATTGCAGTCTCTGGATGCTCCTGCCAGATATCCCGATGAAGAGTGCGTTACAGTAGTCCAGCCTGGCTCATTATATTATTTCTGAACATGCTGAGTAAAGAAGCTACATTTTAAATTGAATACCTTTTCTATTACTTAACTACATTTGAGAGCAGGGATGAGTACTTTCTACTTCACTACGTTTTGGAAATGAACTGAAAAGTAAAAATATTTTTTATTATTTTCTGACACTTGCTAAAAAATCTGAGGAGTTTATTTTTTAACACGTTCATAGTTTGAGTGAACAGAAATTATACAAAAAAAATAGAAAAAACAATTGATTTATTTGTTTCTTGAACTAAATTCAGCGATGGAGATGAAAGAAGATTGAAGATTTATAAGATGAAGATTTATAAGAAATAGCACAAAGTACTTAGATTTTGTTCTGTTTAAAGGTGCATTGTGCAACTTTTCTGGTGGAGGGTCTGTCAAATGCTTTTCTCCATGGAGATGTTGGAGGAGATGATAAAGAATATTGCTTTGTCTGGAATGTTTCACAGTATGGCATTAAACCTTTCTATCTCCATGGAGCTTAAACCGGACCAAGCTTTTTGAGCAATAAAACCATCTGTAATTTAATAAATATAAGGTATTTAATTGTTAAGGTTTAATGTCATACTTTGGAACATTTCAGGTAGAGCAATGAACATATCCATAGAAACAAGCAGATAATAGACCCTCCACCCGAAAAGTTACACAATGCATCTTTAAGCCGAGTCTTTGTTTTGTAAGTCTGAAATCTGTCCAAATCAAGTCCCATGTCAAACACAGGCGAGTCTCGAGTCACTGGTCCATAAGTCCAAGTCAAGTTCAAGTCGTCTGCTTTTTGCAGTTTATATGACTTTTGAACTAAACTGTACTTCAGTACAACTGTAAAATCATAGTATATTTATATATGAGTATTTATATAAAAGTTGTAGAAATGAATTTAGTTATTTTTTTCCTTTTTAAATGTCTTGACAAGATCTTTATGTGAATCATTATGGTCAGAATAGAAAGAATTCAGATTTAAAAGTGCTTCTCAAATCTTCTCAAGTCACAGGCCTCAAGTTCGAGTCATGTCCCAAGTCACTGACCTTCAAGTCCAAGTCGAATCCCAAGTCTTAGTCCATTTTATCAAGTCAAATCTCAAGTCTTAAAAATAGTGACTCAAGTCTGACTCAAGTCCAAGTCCCGCAAGTCCCTACCTCTGGCTTTAAGTAACAAAACTGATTTCACCACTGCACTGGGGTTATTCATTTTTACTGCTGCAGTTTTGCTCTATCAAAGTTTTGTTTTATTTTGTACAATGACAATACAACTCCGCGTTAACATCCTGAACGAAAATATTAAGAGTTTCTATAGACTATACATACTAATGTTCTCATTCAAAGTGTGAAAACCACTTGTGATTTTACTACAGGCCTTCCCTATTTTTATATCTCTTTGAACTCTCAGTTTGAGTCATTATCCTTATTATCGTTATTTTAAGTATGAAATGTTGCCAAGTATGACATTATTCTTAAATCTACCATCTTTTATTCTGGGTGTTTTTATTGCTCATCTGTGCTGCGCGTCTTCACAGATCTGGGGCCTCATTTATAAATCTTGCTTACGCAAAAATCTGTGCGTGCGCGCTTCCTACGCCAACCGCGGTATTTATAAAACTCGCCTAAGGCGTGGCTCTTTGCTTAAAGGTTGTATAGAGGATTTTCCAAGGAACGAGAAATCCAGCGACTGTTTGTCCTTTTTCAAATGTTGCGCATGCGTGAAACCAACCCCCCCTCCCCTACAGCTCCTACGTAGAAACGCCTCCTCCCGCCTCCTCTTTACGCCAGAAACAGGTTTGTTTACAGCCGGTGCGCTGCACATGACTTGTAAACAACTAACTACAGTGTTGGTTAGGCAAGGCGGAGAAGTGAGGAGCGGGGGGAGCTGGTGCGCGGACATTTCGTTCGCGGACGAGAAGTGAGGAGCAGGGAGAAGAGTGGAGCAGGGAGCAGGGAGAGGAGAGAGGAGAGGGGAGAGGGGAGCGATGCGCGGAGATTCCATGCCCGGAGAAGTGAGGAGCAGGGGGAAGAGCGGATCGGGCAGCGGGGACAGGAGCAGGAAAGGGGTGCAGAGAAGGTTGCGCGGAGATTCCATGCGAATTAACTAGCTACAACACGCAGCAGCAAGCGGACTCTTTCTTTGCCTTGAAAATTACGTTTTCAGACATAGGATATCGCTTTTGTGTCCTGAAAAACGTTTGACTAGCTCTTGGAAATAAAGTACGTTTTCATAATAAGCAGAAGTTTCCTGTCCAAGAGTAATTTGGCGACCAGTGCGTCAGTCTTTAGACCCTGCGTCTGCTTCAGTCGCACCATCGCTGGAATGAATCTATAAGAATCACCTTAGTTTGGCTTCGCTGCTTTTCCCCTTGTCTTCTTCTTTCAGCGACCTCAAAAACGGACTTTCTTTTGCGGCGAACTGCTCCTGGATTCTTGTCTGTCATTGCAAAAAACTTTGTGCGAACTGCGAGGAAGATATAGGTCAAAAAAAGCCGCTAAGAACTGTTGCGTTGGTGGAGTAAACAGCGTCTGTGCGTCTTGCGTCTGTGGACTGCGTGACAGTCGTACGTAAACCACGTACCGGCAGCGCGCAGGCAAGTCAGTTACGCTGGAAACGTAGGGAGTTTGATTGACAGCCTGTCAGCTAACACATAACGAGGCAGTGTCGTTATCTATTGGCAAATGTTTAGCCCCACCACGTCCAGAGTTGATGAATTTTTATTCTCTTTTTTTTGGTCATCATAATTACAAGGCTACTGCATCTATAATGCTATCATTGACAACTTGAAACAAAAAAAAATCCTCCATACAACCTTTAACTTTACGCCAACTCGGGACCTCCTGTAAGCTCTACGCAAAGTCTGGAGACACGGGGAAAAAGCGACACTCGTGGAGAGAAGCAGAAGTGAACAGAGTTTGAGGAAGTGTTTGATCAGAAAATCCACATATATAGAAGAATTACCTTCTGATTTGCGCATTTAAGTGTTTGGTTCGCCAAAATACGGAGAAGGGCTGTTTATTCCTCTCATTATTCTCCACAATATTATACATTTGACACTCGTGCACGAGCGCGGCCACGTTCCCGGACTCGGTGTAGCGCAGAGTCCCACAGTCCACACCGCGACCATAGACTTCTATAGAACACAGTCTGTGACCAACACAGAGGACGAAATAATGACCCGACCTGAGAGAAAAACTCTTCCCTTAGACGCAGCAGGAGCCAGACTTTGATTTAATGAACGCAACTTTAACACTTTTACTTTAGTCTTTACGCACCGAGCGCCAGAGTGACTCGAGTCAGCGGACAACACGAAGCCTACTGCCCGAACCTGACCCCAACCAAAATCTTCCCTACATTTTTGTGTAATGGGGAACTCTTGTACATGAGAGCTGCTCTCTGACTGTATGAAGAACAGAATAATGTCCGTGACAGTCCCGACCCAGACCCACACTCACAGACCCAGACCCACACTCATAGACCCAGACCCACACTCACAGACCAGACCCACACTCACAGACCACACTCACAGACCAGACCACACTCACAGACCCAGACCCAGACCCACACTCACAGGTTCAGCAGTTTGGATGTTTCGTGTGTGGACTTTAATTGGCAGAATAACATCTGTATCTGATGTGTTTCATGCTAAATCTGTATCCTCGTGTCCCTCCCGCGCTCCTTTCGCTCTCCAGGGGAGGGCATCTGAATCTCTCGCACGCGCTCATAATTTGACCATTCAGATCAGCGCGTGCACGTATCTACGTGTATATGCATATATATACAGGGCCAGTCCTCACACACTTCATAGACAGACTTAAAAATATAGCGATAAAACGCTTGAAACAGCGAAAAAAACACATGGGCTCTACTGCAAAGATGTTCTGCCTAAATATTATAAAATATGATTAAATGAACAGATGAGTCATTGTTGTCACTTTTAGTTTTGTATTTATTTATTTATTAAACAAGGTTTAATAAAGTCTTTGTCGTGATCACGTGGTGCTGCGTGGAGCGTCCTCCTCCCTCTGTCCCGCGTGTCTCGGTCAAACCCACTGATTATCGGCTCATGTTTAGGGAAATCTCATTCACGAGTCAAATTCTGCAAATTCTAGTTGCAGGTGGGATTTATAAAGCAAAGATTGCGTGGTTTGGTACGTGCAGTGGGTTTTCTAAATATGGAGTTTGCGTGGTGCACGCCTTGTCGTAGCTACTAGGCGTAGGCACTAACTTACGACAACTCCTGCGCAGTTTTTATAAATGAGGCCCCTGACCTGTAACTTGGCTTAATGACGCAACCTGCTTGTCCGAAACAGACATGTTTTTATCATACAATAGAACTTTCTAAGCAAAGTAAAAAAAAATCTCCATGGAGACAAGGAGGTAGCCTATCAGAAAAGGTACACAGTGCAGCTTTAAAAAGGCACATTCATTTAAATACTAGTATGTAGAGTGATTGGCAAGAACCAAAAACAAAAATGACTCACTTTTAGCAATGGCATAATGTGGTTCCTTCCTCAAAACATATCCAGAGTTGTGTTTTGTTTCATTCACACGTTTGAGTAATCCTTTATAATTAGTCTGTCTGCATCTCCAAAGCTCAAAATGCTCTATTCCACCTTGTGATGTCATGAAGCGGTGGTTTTCAAGTTTCAAGTTCAAGTGTGTGTGTGGGTGTGTGTGTATGGGGGGGTGCGCGTGTGGGCGTGTGTGTGTTTGTGCTGATTCTCTTGCTTTGATGTTTATTTGAATATATGTATCCTACTGTCTGCCCTACTGTATCTGTCTTTTGTTGCTGTATCTATGACGACCCCCTCGAAAACGAGATGGCAGGACATCTCAACGGGCTTATCCTCCAAACAAATACATTCAAATTCAAACACCCGGTGGTGGTAAACTACTGTTGTAGCCACAGCTGCCCTGGTCCCTCCGACCACCAACATCTCTCACACACACCCCACTTCCATACTAGGCAATTTGGGTGAAGTGTCTTGCCTAAGGACACAACAACATTTTTTTTTTTGTGACTGGCTTACGTCTAGGTACAGACCAGGCCTGGCCTTGCTGAGCTTCTGAGACTTGACAGGATCAGTCTTTGACAAGCTCGTATGGCCACATAAATCTGCAGGGTGTGTGTGTTAAACGTGTGAAATGAAACAAAACACAACACAGGATATGTTTAAGATGAAAAAACAACATAGCCTAGCGTATTATAGGCCCTTTAACATTTATTTATTTAGATTTTTTTTTTTTTTTGCGTAGACCTGACTCTCAAATAACCACACAGAGGATTTTGCAGAGAATTAGGCAAATTATTACTCTCTGAAATGAAGGATTTTGTGAGGACCATTCACAAAATGGTCATGTCGTATCCTTCAAATCAGTAGAATCCTTATGCCTAAAACCCATGAATATCTTATACAATACAGACTAATCTATACTACTAAACTATAGCATCTGTAATAACCTGTGGTGGAACATTACAAAGTAAAAGTAGTATTTAAGTAAAGGTTTTAGGTATCTGTACTTTACTGAGCACAGGTATCGCCACTACATTTTTAAATACGACTGAAAAGTAAAAGCATTTTTATTATTGTTTGCATAGTTTCAGGAAACAAAAGACATATAAAAATACATATAAAAAGAGGGAAGTAAATACAGGAAGTACAATGAAAACAGGAAAAAGTTGAAACAATCAAAGGACATATAAAAATACATATAAAAAGAGGGAAGTACAATACAAACAGGAAAGTACAATGAAAACAGGAAAAATTCTGTTGAAATTCAGTACAAATCTTCTATCTATTCTATCAAAGCCTTATTAGATCTCAAAAATGTACATAAAATAAAGTAGATTTTTTAAAGGTTAGGGCTAGTTTAATACTTTAACTCTTATACAATACAGACTAATCTATACTACTAAACTATAGCATCTGTAATAACCCGTGGTGGAACATTACAAAGTAAAAGTAGTATTTAAGTAAAGGTTTTAGGTATCTGTACTTTACTGAGCACAGGTATCTGTTCTCTCGCCACTACATTTTTAAATACGACTGAAAAGTAAAAGCATTTTTATTATTGTTTGCATAGTTTCAGGAAACAAAAGGACATATAAAAATACATATAAAAAGAGGGAAGTACAATACAAACAGGAAAGTACAATGAAAACAGGAAAAATTCTGTTGAAATTCAGTACAAATCTTCTATCTATTCTATCAAAGTCTTATTAGATCTCAAAAATGTACATAAAATAAAGTAGATTTTTTAAAGGTTAGGGCTAGTTTAATACTTTAACTCAAGTTGTTTTTTTCATGCAATACTTTTACTTACTTGAGAATATTTCCGTGCTCTTACTTAAGCGACAAAACAATAATTTACCACTGGCAATAACTGCTCTGCTTTTTTTTGCACGTGTTTACGACCTATATTCTTATCACTGCTCATGCCCCTGTGGTCAACCTGAAATCATTTGAATAGTTTCCTCTTGATTTGTTATGCCACCTCAGCTCACACTTCCTTGTTGTGCAGTTTCCTCATTACAGACATGCACATCACATGGACAGAGGGTAAACAGGCGCATGACCACGCTGGGGTTTTCCTCTGTGCATCTTATGTCCCAAAGTGTGATCTACAGAGCTGTTAGTGACGTTCTAACAAGACCGGACCTGGCGAAATGTGATCAAGTGTGAAGAGAGTGTGTGGCTGTCTGGTTTTGGTTGCACTGAGGATTGAGTCAGACCACACACTTTTGTTAGTGAGTTGTGTATTTAGAACAGGCAGTATGTAAAGCAAAGGTTAGTTTGCAAAAATATTCTAGTACACTCATTATCATATCGCCAAGGAAGCTGTTTTTGAGTTTGACCAGTCGTATATGTAAACCCTAATAGAAAACTAACAAAAAAGAGAATGAATTTGGAACTGTTTGGTCAAAAAATCGTCTTTGGTTTTGTTTTTATTGCACTGAGAAACTAAAATATTCCACAGTACGGCATAGAATGTATTTCCAAGTGTCTTAACTTTGTATTTTCAAAGAATTATGCAGGTGACGTGCCATTTCCAATAAGTTACATACTCTTTAAGATATTATTTAGAATTTTTCTGTGTGTGCTTTTAAAATAAAACCTATAATATTAATTAATTTATTTAGTTTATTTACTTAATTTCTGATTGGGGATGTAAGGATATCCAAATCTCTCGGTACGATATTATCACAATATGCATCTTACAGTATGATAGTTAGTGCAATAGTTTGAAGAGACTAATATAATTGTAGATAGGACACTTTTCTGCGTTTATAATACCTTCACAAAATTTTGGTGTGAATTATTTCCGTCATAATCCCAAAAATTCAAGTTAAAAAACATTTCTTCATATTGTTTGGACTGAAATGAATCATGGGATATGTAGTTTCCGATGTTCATAAGCTGTTGCTACGATAAAACCATGCACTTAACCAAAGGAACTTGTAATTCTATGTATTGTGACAGCCCACAATATTATTGTGAGACTTTTGACGATACAATATCACGATATTTTGATTATTGTTACATCCCTAGCAACGATAGCTCATTTGGGGCGTTTCGTTCACTGATGCGAAGGTTAGCCAGTTCGAATCCTGTCCTTGACATGAAACAAGCCAGTAGGAGCGGTCACATCCGCCGGCCTGCAGGTTGGAGGTTGGCGCAATTCCACAAATGAATCGTCTGCTGCTCTTGGGCAAGACACTTAACAAACCTCTAGTGTCTGAGCGAGTGAACGGATGAGCAGTTCCTCATTGTAAAGCGCTTTGTAAAGCAGAGATGGGATCAAGTCATTGTTTTGCAATTTTCAAGTACATCTCAAGTCTTTGATCTCAAGTTCGAGTCAAGTCCCAAGCCAAATACAAGCAAGTCCAAGTCGAGTCTCAAGTCACTGGCCCATAATTCCAAGTCAAGTCCAAGTCGTCTGCTTTGAGCTTCAAGTCATTTCAAGTCTTTAAACCAAAGAACCAAATATAGCTTAGATTTTTGCAATTTATATGACTTTTAAAATAAATTGCACTTATAAAGTCATAGTATATTTATATATGTGTATTTATAGAGTATATAAGAGCTGTAGAAATGCAAATGTTTCCTTTTTAAATGTCTTGACAAGATCTTAGAATGAATCATTACAGTCAGAATAGAACAAATTCAGATTTAAAAGTGCTTCTCAAGTCTTCTCAAGTCACAGGGACCACGTCTGAGTCAAGTCCCAAGTCACTGACCTTCAAGTCCAAGTCGAGTCCCAAGTCTTAGTCCATTTTATCAAGTCAAGTCTCAACTCCTAAAAATAGTGACTCAAGTCTGACTCGAGTCCAAGTCACGACCTCTGGCCTTGAAGGTGGAAAAGGGTTGTATAAAAATATGGCCATTTACTATTATTTATTTATCAACCTACATTATCAAATTCTGTAAAAAATCCGCAGTATGGCATTTACTATAGTTTATTTACAAGTATAATGGTAGAACAGTAAATATTTGTGCAAAAAGCAAGTACAGAAAATCCATGTTTATATAACTGAATAACACAGGAGTATATAAGGCGACAGTTCAATCATATACATAATACTTACGTCACAGTGTTTTTGAATGATGACACTGTAGCATGTTTTTGTTTTTGTCAGCACAGAGACAGCCCCTGGCCAGCCTCCTCCACGTGGTTGTGCGGTGAACTGCAGACAGAGAGCATATAAGTGAGAGGGGATGGAGCCAAAGCGTACAACTGATACTAGCTGGAAGTACACCAACAAATCACAACACGATACTACTCCACTGGTAAGGCGCCAGCTCACTACTGCATCAAAACTTTATGGATTTTTTTTAAGGAAGTTAATCTTGCATTTAACTTGGAATTCTATGTAAACACTTCAACTTTTTAAAATATGTGAGAAGTGAGAATGATGTGACTCGTTGTGAAATTGTGTTTTTGTGTTTTTTGCAGACAATGGATGAGGCAATGATCACAGGGACACCTGAATATGACATAGGACCTGTAAGTACAATTTTACATCAATAAATAAACATAGGTTATATTGTATTTTTAGTATGTATTGTATATAGTATGTTTGTGAAAATAATGCTACTACACTCTATGTTTTGTGAATTTGTGGAACAGTAAAGAATGGGAGATTGCGGTTTACTAGTAACTCAGTTTAAGTTTCAAGTGGTTCTCCTGAGAGCGCATGTCTCAATGACTCTAGAAATGATTGTATTATATTTTTGAGTAGTACTTGCTAAGGATTTTTGTCAGTTTTTTTTTTTTTTTTTTATGTCATGAAATATTAATTTAAAAAAACATTGTATATTTATTGCACTGAACCACAAAAAAGTAGCACTATTTTTCTTTTTTCTATGGAGTTTTCTGGCTGTCTTGCTCTGTCTGGAATGTTTCACTGTATGCCATTAGATCTTTGTAGCATCATAGAGACAGGTCAGATCTGTGGAGAGGCGACTCCGCTCACAGTCAGAATGCTTGTTTTTTCTGAGTATTTTTGAGCTATAAAACCACATGTAATTGTATAAATGTAAAGTAGAGCTGTTTAATGTCACACTGTGGAACATTCCGGGCAGAAGAGCAATGATATATCCATAGAAACAAGCAGGTGACGCACCCCCAATCAAAAAGTTACACAGTGCATCTTTAAATTCCAGTGTTGCAACATATAACGCTTAGGAAAAGCACCAGAATAGAATAATGCAATTAAAAAATTTAGATAAATACCTATTTTTAAAAAGTGAAAGGTGCAGGAGGTACTTTGTTGTAAATACTATGCTAAAAGTTACACAGTGCGACTTTAAATTCCAGTGTTGCAACATCTAAAGTTCAGGAAAAGCAACACAATAGAGTAATGCATTTTTAAAAAATCTAGATAAATACCTGTTTAAAAAGTGAAAGGTGCAGGACGTACTTTGTAGTAAATACTATGCTAAAAGTTACACAGTGCGACTTTAAATTTCAGTGTTGCAACATGTAAATTTCCGAAAAAGCAACACAATAAAGTAAAGCAATACAAAAAATCTAGATAAATATCTATTTTTAAAAAGTGAAAGGTGTAGGAGGTACTTCGTAGTAAATAGTATGCTAAAAGTTACACAGTGTGCCTTTAAATTCCAGTGTTGCAACATATAAAGTTCAGGAAAAGCAACAGAAAGGAATAACGCGATTAAAAAAATCTCGATAAATACCTATTTTTTACAAGGTAAAAGGTGCAGGAGGTACTTTTAATAAATACTAGGGTAATTTTATCGACAGTATGGAACACTGCCAAACTTGTTAGCAAAATAAAGTGAGCACGTTGTAACTGCTAGCTAGATTTGGAAGCCATTTCTTAGTGTTGTTCAAAACAGTTCCATCCACACGACATTTTCCATCTCTTCCATCAGATGCGCTTTCGTTGTTTTTAAAGTGACCTAAATCAGCTTACCCGCTTCGAGTCAAACATCTGCTAAATGTCAGACAGTTTGGAGATTTTCCATTGTTATTTCTGCTCTTCACATGATCTCTTATCTAAGCTGCACATCTCCATGCTAGCTCGCGTCACGTTGCCGGGGGCCCCCTCTTCGGCCCCCTCTTCTCGGTTACCCACGAGCCCCCTGTGCACGGTTAGGAGAGCAGCAGGAAGCAGAGCAGCCGTGGTTTTTCAGGCACTCAACACCTGCACCTGTAGCACTGGTTAGCCGCCGTTAGCTCGCGTACGTCACAGCTAGCGTGACATCAAGGCCAGATATTCCCACAAGAACACTGAGCTACAACGGCAGGAAGTTCAAAAAAAAAAAACCTTATCAGTGACATCGGCTCACGTACCGCGTCTGATACAGCAGTGTTGGCTTGACTGCAATATTATTGTAACTCAAACACGTATACAGTGTCCAACGCTAGCCAGAGATGGAAAGAATACTTTGAAAATGTATTTAGTTACGGAATACTGAGTACCTGCGTTAAAATGTATTTAGTAACGTATTCTGAACACTTGAAATACTTTAACGCAATATTTTACGCAGAGTTGTAGTAAATTATAGTGTAAAACGCAACAAAGTAGGGCTGGGAATCACAAGGCTCTTACGATTTGATACGCGATACATGGCTCACGATACGATATTGTCACGATATGGATACATTCGATAATCGATAAATTCCACGTGATTTTCTGTGAAGTATTGTTGTTTTTAAGAACCAAATACATTACAGCAACAGTATTTCTTTGTTAAACCACTAACTTGTGCAAAGTTAATATGAAATACATGTATTGTAATCATCAAAACAGTGAGTATGTCAATGTGTATTGCATAAGCAAGTTTCCTAAGCAACAGAACTGTAGTGTGGTCACAAAAAATTGCTAAAATAGACAAAAAACTACACTTATCGACAGCAGCCCACAGTAACAATACTGTATCTCCATATTGTAATATTTTGATATTTTTTCACACCGCTTCTCAGAATTATTATTCTGAACTTGTATTCTTGGTACATGTATTCAGGTACTTCCCTGACTATAACCATATATGGTGGGTACAGTGAGAATACCCAAAACCTGTATAAAAAGTATAGTCAACTTGAAATAACTTCCTGGTGGAGGGTCTGTCACTTGTTCGTCACCATGGAGATGTTTTCACTTCGCCTGGAGTTTTCTGCACTATTACAACATGTTTTTCAAGCTCATCTCCAACTGAATAAAAGCACGATTCTCAGTTTTGAGGCCATACAACGAAACATTTCAGGCAAAGCGCTCACATTTCCATAGAAACACAGACAGAAATGTTACATACTGCACCTTTACGGCTACATGGGGTCATATTGGAAGCACAAAACTCAAAATAATACGCGAAATCTGAACTTTGAGGGAAACAAAAGAGTATTGTTATCGTGTAAGATATATTACTCTTGTAGTAAAAGTATGAGGTCTCAGGGAAGTAGGCTACAATTTTATCAAAGTAAAAGCAGAGTAAATGTATCATGAGTAAAAGTAAAAGTCGAGCAAATGTATTTTATCTAATGTAGCCCATCTGTGCTCATGCTATTGTTTCATATGTGAACTTCAGCAGTGAACCACAACTTCTTTTTCACTTGTTTATTATGGCAACAGGAACTAAATGTAAAGTTATCAAGGTCTGTTGAATCTGTATTTGCTTGACTTACTATACTGAAAGAAAATTTAGAACAGCATTTCCCCATAAAATAACACAAAACATTTATACAAGCCTTTTTTATTGAATGGATATAGTAGAATACTGTAAACCATTGAGTATTGGAGTAATATTGTACTTTGAAATTTAGATATCATGAGTACATCTTTTATGGAGGCATATACTGTATGTAAAATCAACTTTCATAAGCTTTTACCATGCTATAACAAGTACTTTGTCTTATTCACAGTGGTATTTTGATTGATTCATGCATGTTCGAGTTCCTTTATTGAACTTGAATGCTCTGAAAATTGTCGTTTTCACCTACCCCCTATTTCCATGCTTATGTATATGCAATTATTTGACAAAAATAGGCATCAGGTCATTCTTGTAGGATTCAAAAATTAGCCATTAGTCAACATTAAAAAAGCAGTGAGTGGTAGAAGTACTCAGTTTTGTTACTTAAGTAAAACTACACGTGCCAAAATAAAGAAAGCTCAAGTAAGCGTATTTACTTTTCAGACCTGTTGAAAAGCGTAGAATAGAAAGTACAGATACCTTCTCTCGAATGCAGTGAAGTAAAAGTTAAAAAAAAGTTTTCACTTGAAGATATACTCAAGTAAAGTACAGATACCTAAAATGTATAGTATAACACGGTACTTCACTACTTTTACTTTGTTACCTTCCTCTGAAAACAGTAAAAGAAAACCAGCTGCTTTCTAGAGTTAAACTTTTTTCTTTAAAGTGGAGCTAAACACCAAAACTCCACCCACAACCACATTTCAAATAGAGCTGCTGAACTGGGCAGTACCTCAAGGGAAAAAAAAGTAAAGGGTTAGGTGGTAGAAGGGGCGGGGTCTGGTGGTACAGTGAACGGTGTGATTGGTCTAATAGGTATCTACACTTTAAACTTCACCCCTACTGCCTGGTGATTGTGATCAGAAACCCCTGGCTGTAATCAGGACAGTCTCTTGTGATGTCACCAACTACTTAAAATGTGAGTGGCCACTGGAGCCAGGACTCACAATTTTTTAGGGATGTAACAATAACCGAAATATTGTGATATCGTATCGTCAAAGTTCTCACAATAATGTCGTGGACCATCACAATATATCAAATTACAAGTCTCTTTGCTTAAATGAAGAGTTATGGTGCAGCAATAGCTAAATATAAGACAGAGGGAACTACATAGACCATGATCCTTTGCTCCATTTCAGTGCAGACGACAAGAAGAAATAACAGTTCTAAGCACTTTTAAGTCTTAGTTCTTTGAGTTAAGTCTTGTCAAGGGATTTTAAGAGGAAGAAGAAGCACATTAACAGTTTTGTCAGCCTCCACAAAATATCGCAATAAATATCGTACCGTGAGATGTATATCGTGAAAATATTGCGTAAATATCGTAAGAGATTTGGATATTGTTACATCCCTTATTGTGAGCCTTCCCACTGTATCATGAGCTTTCCCACGATATCGCCTTGGAGACTTGGATATCATTATAACATACCCCTACTAAATTTTAAAAGTCTTTGACCAGAAAGCTGCGAATGTACCTAGTTTGCAATGAAAATACCCAAACCAGCAATAAATACAGTTGAGTTTAGTAGCATAAAGGTTGATATATGTTGTAGTTCTTGTTTAAAACTAAAACTAGATTCTATTTTGTGCTTGCAGGCTACCGATTACACTGATTACTACTACCTGACCGGGCCCACGGATGATGAAGGCCTGTGTGACCGCACCTGGGTCCGAAACTTCCGCGGCCAGTACGAGCCCCCCCTCTTCTGGATCATCTTCATCCTGGGTGCCGTGGGAAACCTCATGGTGGTCCTGATCTACTGCACCGTCCGCAACCGCATCAAAACCATGACCGATGTCTACTTGCTCAACCTGGCCGTTGCCGATCTCCTCTTCCTGTGCACGCTACCGTTTTGGGCCAAAGACGCGTTGATCGACTGGTGGTTCGGCGAAGGTGTGTGCAAGTTTGTCTCGGCGGTCTACAAAATCAACTTCTTCAGCAGCATGCTCCTCCTCACCTGCATCAGCGTGGACCGCTACATCGCCATCGTCCAAGTGACCAAAGCGCAAAACTTCAAGAAGCAGAGACTCTTCTATAGTAAGCTTGCATGTTTAGGCGTGTGGGTATTGTCCTTTATGTTAGCTTTGCCCGAGTTTATCTTCGCCACGGTGAAGACGAACCCTAACGGTAGCACTTCATGCAAGCTTGTCTACTGGAACAACTTTAACAACAGAAAAAAAATCTTGGTGCTATCTTTGCAGATCTCCATCGGTTTTGCTCTCCCGTTCCTTTTCATGATTTTTTGCTATTCCGTCATCATCCGTACGCTTCTCCAGGCGAAAAATTTTGAAAAACATAAGGCCCTAAAGGTAATTTTCGCGGTCGTTTTAGTTTTTGTCCTCTCCCAACTTCCGTACAATGGTTTTCTGATCATGGAGGCGACTCAAGCGGCCAACATGACCATTACGGATTGTCTAACGTTGAATAAATTTGACATAGTGGGGCAAATAGCCAAGAGCTTAGCGTACACACACGCTTGCCTGAATCCGTTCTTGTACGTGTTCATTGGCGTGCGCTTCAGACAAGACCTGCTCAAAATGGTGAAGATGAGAGCAGGAAGTTTGAGCAAAGTGGGTCTTATAAAATCGCCGACCAGCTCCAAGCGTCTACCGTCCGTCATGTCCGATACCGAAACCACTCCAGCTCTTTCCTTATAAAGTTTGGTGATATCTCTCCCGGTTAGGACCATACTGTGCAAAAAACTACCATTTTAAAACTTTGAATCTTGTTAAAATGTCACTCCACTGTTGGTTTGAAAGATTAATCGCAATCGAAATCGCAGTTTGAATGGACAGAATTAGCAAATAACAAAATCATATCATAAACAGCTAACTCTGTACTTACGATCTGTACGAACATGTTCTAAAACGTGATTATTGTGTTAGCTTATCCATTTTCAAATTGTATTCAAATTTCAATCTTTTTGTCAATTCTTCTGGACGCGTTTAAAATCTCAACATTGAAAATAATCCTATTTGTAAAACATAAATCGTAAATTTAACCGAATCTTAATATGATGTTTCTCCGAAATCATGCCCCAGCACAGATGCCAACAAAATCCACAAGTGTTCCTTTGTGTTTTTAAAGTCCATTCATATTCACCAGACCTGTTCGAGATCATTTCAGGGCTCCAATGGCAAATATAAAGACTCTGTGACATTTTTATTAAACTTAAACTATTAGATGATGTTGTTGCCATGGCGAACAAATGGCGGACTGTGACTCCTTGATTCGAGCTTTGAGAAAATGTCCCTTTTTTGTACACTGACGTTTTCTCCGACTTTTTTATTCCAAATTGAAGTACAGTACTGACAAAATCAAAATGCATTAGTAGTAATTGCAAAATAGATTATAAAAAGTATGTTTACATAACTCACACTGGCATTCTTTGTGTATAAAGTGTAAATTATCTGTAAATATGTGTTGTTTTTTTACATTGTGAGTGATTGAGCATTATTTCTGTGACAGACTTGTTTGCTGCTGTACCAATTTTCAAGATTTATTTTTACATTTTGTGTTAAAAAAATAAAATAAAAATCAAACAGATCAATTTTTTGCAGTTTTGTTTTTTAATTTCAAGTCCTATATTATGCAAAATCCATTCAATTATTCAAATTATTCACTTATTCAATTCACAGTTCATACTAGTCTCTTAGTTTTCATCTTCAAAGCTCAAAATGCTGCTCTGTTCAACCTTGTGATGTCATGAAGTGGTAGTTTTCAAGTTGACAGCTACCTTTTAGCTTTAATTCAGTAGAGATTGACAATTCCAGGGCTTAGATTATCCAAATGATTCTAGTGAAGGTGTATGTAGTATAAAACACAGCAGAGCAAACACATGACATCACAAGGTGGATGAGAGTGTTTTCTGTTTGAAAGAAGAACTCAGACTTAATATGCAGAATGTGTGTGTTAAATTTGAATGAAACAAAACACAACTCCGGGTATGTTTTTGACAAGGAAACAAGATTATAACAGAAAATAATGTAATAAGGACCCTTTAAATTTTGGATCTGTACATACAGGGAGGCACGTGATAATATTTTTAATCTGACAAAATTTGAAGCTTCCATTGACAAAATTAAAAGATTTATTCAACCAAAACAAAACAAAAAAAGAGCCCAAAGACATTGGGTTAATAATGCAATAGAAATGTGTTGCCAAACTGACCACAGGCTCTAATGTAACCCATGATTAGAAGAAGTTACCCAATGAGGCATGCTGTCCGTGCCAGAGTGACCACCATCGCCACCACAGGGCCTGACTGGAGTGAGAGCGTGACCAGCGGATGACCATGGTGACCAGCAGGGGGAGGTGCCACAGTGCCAGGCTGGTGTGGCTCTGCGGTTCTCCCTCACGCCATCAGCTTCCTCTTTGTTTTAGACATGATCATTTATGGCATCAAGTTCAAAAAACAAGGCACATTTGCAGAGTCAGCTCAATGACTGAATTGAAAAAAATAACATAAATGGATCAAATTTGACATTTCCCAAACTGTTGCATCTTGAGTTTTATCAGAAATACATGGTGTAGTGAACAAATATTATAATTTTGTGTTGATAATAATAATATTGTCTACAAAAGCTTTTAAAATGATCATTTTGGTATCAAAATTGGCATTGAGCCTAGGCTTTAGAATTTAAATCGAGTTTGAAATTTTAGTATTGTATCGCAAACAACCAGAGTGTATAAAAGAAGTAGACTAAGTGAGTGTGACGTCACCCATAGTGTTCAGCGCCATCAAATGAAGCTCACAGTGCTCATGGTTACAGGAGCGAATCTGGAGCCAGGCTCTATGTTATGAATATCTCTCACATCGATTACTGCTTAGCTACTTGGTCTCTTGCCTGCCCCACAACACTTAAAACCATTGAAAACGTCTATAAAAGAGGTCTAAAAATACTTGACAAAAAACCCATTTCCCACCACCACTGTCACATACTGAAAAAGCACAGGCTTCTAGATTTTAGTAATATGGTCAAACTCAAAAGGACTTGTCTAATTTATAAGGTCCTACACTCCCTGGCACCACCACCATTAAACAATTACATTAAATGTAAAGACACTTCAGTAAGAATCACGCAAGCCACCACCAGGGGTGACTTGGTCATAGAGACGGACCACCTTTGGTCAGAATGTGTTATCTGTACAAGGTGGAAATCTGTGGAATGCCCTACATACACCTCTTTTAAAGCTCAAACGAAAACTTGGTTATGGTCAAACCAAACATGTACACATGTATAACTGCACTGTGATTTTAATTGTTTTTCTATGGACAGGAATGGAGTATGCAACAATGGGAACTGTGCAATGAATGGAGTGTGCAATTAATGGGAACTGTGCAATGAATGGAACTTTATAATGAGTGGAGTGTGCAATATTTTAGTGTCTGGCCCCCTGTGACTCTAGCCTTTGGGACAACGGATGGAAATTAGCCTTAGGCTACAATCCGGTGTGTTTACATTCATGTTGTCATGTTTGTTCATTAACATGCTCTGTCCCAATCAAATAAATAAATAAATAGAATTTTTATATTATTATTATTTTCAAAATAGAATAGAAAGAATATAAAAAAATTCAGGATCATGTAGAGCGGGTTAATACCAGACCAAAGCTCGAAATAAAGAGGTACACTGCAGCAGTTACAGAGAGAGGAGCCACAAGATCCTAATATGAATCAGTTGGAGCCAGTGTGAGAAGGAGCCAGAAGAGCCTCCTCATGCACTTCCTGTTTGGCACACAGCAGCTAGTGCATTAGCTGTGTCCACGTATATATACGGTCTATGCAAACAACACTATTACTGTGTGTTTTTTAAGTGTAGTGGAGCATGAATTGCATTTCATGTTTTATTGTCCACTTTATCGTGATTTAAGAAATAATATGTATGAAAATATTCAGCAGAGGAACCCTGAGTTGTTCTGACTGTCTGAATGTCAAATCACGTTAGGCTATTTGAAAATGAAATGTTTTGTGTGGCAGCTTTTGTGGAGAAGGCCTGGACATTGAGACAAAAGACTCTGTACCTTGAGAGGGGGTGATTTTGTTGAAACCGTGTGACCTCGCAGCATTAGGATTCGTTTGCTCGACAGTAGGCGGGTATTTTTTTTTTTTTAACCAATCGCTGCTATTTGGTCACTGCTATTTGGCCAGTAACAGGGCTAACTGATACATTAAGCTTTTCCCAAATCCTGTTGGAAGAAGGGCAATAACATCTTCCCCCTTCATAAAATTCACCAAACATTCTCTTTGTTCTGGCTTTAAATCCTTGATCTTGGGAATCGTTGCCAACACAGAATGTATGGCTCTTCGCTGACTGGCTGGTGCCTGGACTTGCACTTCCGGTGTTTTGCAAACCGTCTAGTGTATTTTGATTCCTGACCTAATAGCTGGAGAGAAATGAAATTGAGCGGCAGCCCTAGGTGGCACCAGCCTGGCTAGGTTGCCAGTGCCTTAAAGTTCCTATATTCGATTCTTGTGAGCTTTAAGACATGTTATAATGTTACCTCCTCAAAAACAGACCTAAAAACACAGTGGAGCACTTTCTGTAATAACACATGACATCACAAGGTGGAACAAAGTGTTTTCAGTTTGAGAGAAGAACTCAGTCTGATTATGCTTTTGGGTTTGTGTGTAAACATGTGTGGATAAAACAAAACACAACTCTATGTTTGTTTGTGATGAGGAAATGACATTTTAAAGTAGATCAGAAGACAGTGTAATACAAACCCTTTAACCTTATAACAGAAGTGTTGTATTGCAAAGCTGATTTATTCTTATCAGTAAAAATATATTTGTTTTGAACTTTGCTTACCTTGTTTCTGTATACAAAGTTAAGTCATGTTTATGGAATATCAAATCTGAAGTACAGTTTTATTGGTGTTGTTATGTATACACAAAAATAGGAACTTGATGTATGATGTAAAATAGACCAGACACCTTGTACAGTACAGGGGATCACAAAAACAAGAGAAAAGGGGATGTGTGCTGACATCATAGACAGAGGAATAAAGAGAAGTGGTTCCAAATCCTCTTTGACTGCTTTGTGACTCATTCAGACGCGCTGACTGCAAACTGTGACGGTGCTGCTTTAGAGCCAGTTTCGAGACAGTTTATCAATGTTATTAGAGTTCATCTAGCTTCTCAGATATACTCACCTCCTCAGAAGAAGGTCTGCGGTTTGATTCCCAAAAAGTGTGGAAATGAAAGTGGACTTTATATTTCTATGTGTATCTGTTTCTGTTTGGAAGGATTTTGCTTGCAGTAGCTGGTTTGTACTGCTTAGAAAAGGTGAAAAAATAGTGGAAAATAAGGTCCAAAGTTATTGCTCACTTACCGTATGTATTTCTGGTGTCCCAGTTAGTCATATGATGCCAAAATCTCATCTTGTCTCATTCCTGTGTACCCAATCTCTTCTAATTACCATATGTGAGTCAAATCTATAGCAAAAAATGTATTTATGTAGAACAGTAGCGCAATATGACAGATAAACACAAAGCCTATGCACCAGTCTTGTTTTCTCTTTTCTTTCTCCAGAATCTCAATGGGGCTTTCCATTGTAAGTTACTGTAAACCACAAAACTCATAACCAGGCTCACGCCAGATTGATCTGTGTGTCATTTAAGGGCGAGTTGTTGTAAAGTTGTAGGGATTATTGTCTGTTACCTATGTGTAAGTTGGGTAAGGGTGAGTTGTTGTCTTGGACACTCGGGTGAAGAGAGGGGCTGAGCTGTCAACTGATCACCACCTAGTTGTGAGTTGGGTACGCTAGTGGAGGAGGAAGCTGGAAAGATTTGGCAGGCCCAAGCGTGTACTCAGGGTCTGTTGGGAAAGTCTGGAGGCTGGGGACATGGAGTCCGAGTGGTCTTCGTTCTCGGCCTCTATTGTCGATGCGGCTGCTCGTAGCTGCGGCAGCAATCCCGGTGGTGGAAACCGGAAGTAAGGGATGCTGTCAGGCTGAAGAAGGAGACCTATCGGGCCTTGTTGGCTTGTGGGACTCCTGAGCCAGCTAACGGTACCAGCGGGTACAAGCGTGCTGCAGCCTGTGCAGTCGCGGAGGCAAAAACTCTGAGCTTGGAGGAGTTCGGGGAGGCGGACTATGGAGGAGGACTATCGGACAGCCACAAGGAAATTCTGGCAAACCGTCCGGCATCTAAGGAGGGAGAAGGAGTTCTTCAACAACACTGTTTACAGTGCGGGTGGAGAGTTGCTGACCTTGACTGGGGATGTTGTCAGGTGGTGAAAGAAATACTTTGAGGATCTCCTCAATCCCACAGTCACGTCTTCAGAGGAGGAAGCCGACCCCTGGGGACTCAGAGGCAGACTCGTGCGTCACCCTGTCTGAAGTCACTGAGGTGGTTGGCAAGCTCCTTGGTGGCAAGGCTCTTAGGGTGGATGAGATCCATCCTGAGTCTCTGGATGTTATTGAGCTGTCTTGGCTGACACGCCTCTTCAAAATCGCGTGGCGTTCGGGAACATGTGCTGTGTGGATCTGGAGAAGGCATTCAACTGTGTCCCTCGTGGTTTCCTGTGGGGGGTGCTTTGGGAG